TGTTTGATAAAGCATTGCAAATGTATATGATACTGGACATTATTGAATATACAATACAGATTTATTATAAAGTGTTTCTGTTTATTGGTTCAGCATGCACTGTGTGAGAAAAGCAAAATTAGTAGAACAGAGGCACGCACACAAACACACAAACACACACACACACACACACACACACACACACATACACACACAGAAACTAAAGTGCCAATAAGAGCAACCATTTAGTTCTGTCCACACTGAGTTCATAGAGAGTTAGCAGGAGCAGCTCTCCAGCTGAGGTATAAAGATACAAATCAAACATGACAGACGGACACACACACACACACACACACACACACACACACACACACACACACACACACACACACACACACACACACACACACACAAACATAGACTTCTATTAAAGTTTGATGTAACCACACCATGCCCAGAGACGCCATGTCTAAAAAAAACACTGCATCAATAATCACATCAACATCCAGCCTTCATCAGAACAGCAGAATTTATAGCCGTCATAGGGGAGTCAATGGCGAGTACTTCCTAACTGATTGATCGCTCCTGCATCCAAGACAAACACTCTGATGCTGATGAACTGTGATGCGAGGGAACTCTTAAATGATCACACTACTTATAGCAGTTCTCAATCCCAATTCAGCCCAGAGACCTTGGACTTAAAAATGCTGAGAGCCAATGGTGTTGCTTCTATCATGAGACCACCTACTTGGCTGCAATCAGTCTGCCTTTTTCCTCCATTGCCTCCCTGACCTCCATTCTAGCTTTCCTTTTGCTTATCCTTCTCTCGCTTCTCTTTATTTGCTCTTGACTGTCCATTCTGTTAAAGTGGCTTACACTCTAAAAACAGCCTGGGTGCATTTGAGTGGCAGAGGCTAGACATGGGGCAGGGGGGCTCCTGGGTCTCCATTTAGCCGCTTCCTGTTTGAGGGAGCCAATATGTATGCCCCTCCAGGCCATTGCTCAGCTTGCCATGTGTAACCCAATGAGGCTTTTGGTGGACTCGGCGGGGCTGGCAGAGCTCAGATCACAGCTACAAAGACTCTGCTGAATATGCTAACGCTGAAAAATCTCCCTCAGCTTGTTTGCACAAACACGGGATGGAATGCTAAATATATGCCTATGATTTGTTCTGGTTTGGTTATTTGATATTTGGCCAAAATGAGAGCTGAATGTCTGAGAGAAGACTGATGAAGCTTATGAATTTTGAGGTCTCTGCTTCTCATACAAAACGGCATGCTAGTTCTTATCAGAGCAGAAAAACAATACCAAATAGTTTCTTAAAGTAAGTCTCACACACACACGTAGATTATTAGTACAGCTGGGTGTCAGGTCCTCGGGCGCACTGAGACGACCATAAGCACTGAGGGCTTTTCTTCCTGTCCCAGCATGGGGTACTAAGCTAAGTCTGTGCATAAGAGAGAGAGTGTGTGTGTGTGTGTGTGTGTGTGTGAAGGGTGTATGTTTTCAGCTGGCACCCCTCAACCTTGGCAGCAGCTTGTCTCCTGGCACACACAGGAACAAATTTGTCTTTGGGGTTTGGTTCAGTTTTAGTCTCTGGTGTGATGGTGGGATGGTGTGTGTGTGTGTGCGTGTGTTTGGGTGTGTGTGGGTGCGGGTGAGGAATTTGAGAGGTCTGGTCATTATCACCACTACAGCCAATGATCATGTGGCCAGAGCAAAAGGAAAAAAGGTGAGGGAGTTTGGAAAGGGAAGTAGATCTGAGGGCAACGGATGAAAATATCAACCAAATGTGAAAAAAAAAAAAAAAAAAAAAAAAATGAACGAGGGTTTTGATACAGATGTTTAATCCATATAACAAAAACCAGAGAGCGCAAAATTAAATGAATACCAAATGTTAAAAATTCTTCTCCTCTTCTTCTCTCTCATTGTTTCTCTAACTTTACATATTCACTACTGTAAGTCTATCCTCAAACATAAGAAGACATGAACACAGTGAGATTTTCACACTGGAATGCCGACAGAATGGCGTGTGTGTTTTCCCAGCTTGTCTTAGCTGTGGCGTGTTGTGGTCACCGGGCCTGTGTGTGGTCCTGGTGTGGTTCAGCTGCTCAGAATCATTTCCATTTAAACATATCTGTGGTCCTCAATGCAAGCCACCAATGTTATCCACTCCATCGAAGGAGGTTACACCAAAAGCTTTGCCCTCTGTGTGACCGCCTATGTGTGTGTGTGTACGATGTGTCCACATGCGTGTGTGAGTGAATGCATAGCAAAGACTGTGTGTTTGTGTGAGTGTCTAAATGTGCGAATATTTAGGATTCACTGTCATCCGTCTTCCTGCATATTAGCGGAGGAGATTTCTCATGTAGGCAAGATAATGGCGAGCAAACAGGGTTTAGAGTGGTGTGTGTGCTGATGGATGGGTGTGTTTTGAGCTTCAGGGCCCCCTCAGGGCATTGTGTCCCAGTGATCAGTGACTCCTCTCCCAGGGGTTCCTTCCCACCACAAACAGCAGCTCAGATCAGATCATTGGGAAGGAATGTGGATGCCTCCTCATGAAAAACCTTCCATGCCGTTTCTCTAGCTCTGTCTTTGAGAGTGCCTCTTTTGATGGACAAGGTTATAGATGTCTATCCCATGTGATCATGTGCAGAGGTAGTCAAAGTAAGCATTGTTTACTCAGGTAGAAGTCCAGATCTATGTGAAAAGAGACTGGTAAAAAAAGATACGTTTTCTTCACATGAATAAAAGTCAAAACCGAAAGTCTCCGAGAAGCATTCAAAGTATAAAAGTAAATGGCTAACTGAAGCTCACGCAACTATTAAACCCATATTGTTCTCAAATAAAAAAAAAAAAAAATTGAAAATACCGAACAATTTTGTTTTTATGAAGCCTATAAATTGCTCGGTAATGTCTTTTTGCTCTGAGTCAGCTGTGACTTTTTCTCCCTTAAGTTCTCCCTCAACCAAAGACATCAAATTAACGAAGCATCTTGTTTGTTTTTGTCTGGATCCGTTCTTTTAGTTCAGCTTTATGTCTGTTACATGTGATATTCACTGATAGCCCAATGACAGCCCTTTCTATGTTTTGGCTCCATGTTGACCTTGGAAAAATGGCACGAGTAATTTTTTTCAAAATGAAAATGGATATTTTTCTCAAATGCATAAAATTTAATTAACAAGAAAGTCTGGACATTTAGAGGTAAAGTTTACATTAGTCCATTAAATTATATTTAAAAACTACACCTTCAGGTATAATGATGACATTTCATGTGTGTCACTCTTAGGGAATCTGAACAAGGTGCTAGTTATCATCTTCTTGCTGTTCTTGTTTCAGGATTCAAGATTCATCAATCTGGTATGTTATAGTCTTGTTTAGTTTCTTTTTAGGTCATATACAGTAGTCATTTCAGTCTCTGTTTCATATAGAGCAAAAACTCCTCACAGGAACTTCAGATAAAGTTATTGTTACTTTTAGTAAAGTGTCTTGAGATTACACTTGTTATGAATTGGAGCTATATAAATAAAGATTGATTACATTTTTTAAAACATTTTTTCTTCCCACTTCTGAACATTTGTGTGCCAGTCTTTGATTCTTTCTCCTTTTACGACTGTTTTTAAAAGGTATTTAAAAGTGTTTATTACTGTTTTACAGCAAGCTGAATCCACGTCTCACATGTGCTACTGTGTATGAAATTCAAAGTTACATATTTGGTAAAAAAAAGAAGTGTTTTTAGCATCTCAAAGGGTTATGTTTCCCCTGCTTGTTTGTAGAAAGAACAGCTTACAGAAAACAGAGATGAGCATTTATCACTCGCAGCACCCCGAGGTGGCAACCGGAATGCCAGTGTAGAATTTTCCCAGAGAGAAGATTGCTTTCCCCGAGTCTCCCTTTTGTACACACATTGCATGCACTTTCCCATAAGTCATCTGGCAAACAGGAAGGAATCACAGACCGGATTGGATGCATGACCCAAAACAGCTTCACTCCCATTATGCAGTGATAAATGACCCACCAGCAAGTCGAGGAGTCTGTGAAGCATAGAGAGAGCAGGATAACTGGGAATGATTAAAGTCAAACAGTGTTGCTCAAGGGACCAGATCAGTGAAACAGTAGAGAACAGATTAGACCCACTAGGACGATGAGCATTACCTTGTCAAAAGAGGAGGAGGAGGAGGAGGAGGAAGTGGGGGTGAGCAGGACCAGTTGGCTTGAAGGTGGGGAAGGAGAAGGAGATGAAGCATGTTTGATGTCAAGCACAGGGACCACAGCAGAGCGACCCCCTGCTCGCACTGACAGAGCCTCTGAAAACTTCTGTCATTTTTTGCTTATTGTTTTCATCTAAATGCATGCATAAACACATACGAATCCTATTCTTGCATGTACATGTGTTTGTTTGTCAGAAAATGTCAAAGCATAGTTTGTGTCAATTTCCTAAGCAAATGCAGATGTGAGTTGTGGTTGGCCTTCGATTCCAGTGTCATGGTCTTTGTTGTGTCTCTTTGTATGGGGGATAGGCCCCGTGGGGGGAAAAGGCTTTCATGAATGACAGAAGAAACGAAACACAAGATTCACACACGTAGTGTTCCACATCTTTGCTTATGTGGAGCTCAACAGCCAAACAGTTCCCGACAGACAACCAATAAGAAGAGAAAGTGTAATTATCAGTCAGAACTGCCAAAAACAATAGAACAGGCTATTGAGATGAGAACTTTTTCTCCATATTAAGTCCATTGTTCTTCACTAAAAGCCTTAAAAAAACAGCATTCATTTTCAACATCATTTTATTTCAAAAGTACACAAACAGGACCAATATTCTTCAATAAGGCAAAGCTCAAAAATTAACAACCACTCACGTCAGAGGACTCAAAATCTCATAGTCACAGTTTATGGAGATCACTTGCAAATCATAAATAAACTTTTTTTTTTAAATCTCTCTCTATATATATATCTATATATAGATATATATATAGACTCATCTTTTTTCTCATCATGAAAAAAAGATCATTAGACAAACATTTCTTTACAACCCTGGCCCACATTTAATCGTCTTCAGTATTTTTTTTCCCCTCAGAAACATTATTGTCCATAAAAAGCCATCAGAGTTGGCCAGGGGGGAGGTGCACCTGTCTCTCTCCACAAGTTGGTGTTACGTGGCTCTAATGCCCAGTTCCAAGCCCAGCTACGGACCGCGGCCCTTAGCTGCTACCTGAAAGTACTGAACATAGTGGTGTGAGGCTCACCTGTGCAGTTTATAAGCTACGATGTGCATTGTAAGCATTATTACTTCCTAAAAGCTTTGTTTCGCCCCCGAAAAACCTCTCTGTGCAGCTTCTGTGATATTGCTAAAGCACCTTTATGATCACTATTTAAACAGCTATCCATTTTCAATCCTTTCAAATAAGTGCCTGCTGAGAGGGGTTCCTCAGGGCGTGGGCCTTTGTAGGTGGTGAGTTGGAATTGGGCGCAATTTAAAAAGGGGCATGAGTGATTTTTTCTGTGGCATCGCTGCTGTTCTTTTGCGTTCCGAGCCAAGCCGATCCAAGTCAAGTCTTGGATGGAGAGGCGTGGCTAGCTCTGGTCACCTGGAGAAAAGACTGAGGAGGATGCACAGCAGTGTTGCAACAAGAGACGAGGAGAGACCTGCAGCTCCTCCACACTCCATGGAGTTCTCCTGCAGAGGGAGGGGGGAGAGATTTGGAGAAACAAATAAAACAACAAAGAAGAAATATTTTGTAAGTAAGTAAGAAAGTAATTTAAAAGTGACTGATCTCTGTGTGTGTATGTTTTTTCATGGAGCAGTTACCTCTGGGTGAAAAGGGTGACAGGAATCCGGGCGCCTCCTGTCCTTTTGCATCTTCAACCTCTCGCACTTGAGAGATTCATTATGTGCAGCTGAAGTTAAGGCAACAATAGACAATGTGTACCCTCTGCAGAGTGTTTTCCCACTGAACTGTATTTCAGTGTTTATAATGGAAAGGCATGCATGTTTTAAAGGTGCACTGATGATAGAGCTTCTTATGGATACAGTAATACTTTTGGGCTCAGCATGCAGGACAAAGAAATCAGACCCAGAGCCTTTGTTTGATGGATTTTCTCTGTTGCATAGCAACAGAATGGCATGGCTTTATTCTACAGTAAGCACTCTGCAACAAAATAAACAGTGGCAGACATGTATATACAGCATGACTGTACTGTATAAAGTTTCAGGGAAACACACATTGCAGAAGGAACTCGCTCGTGTATGTGGTGTGGTGACGCGCTAAGCTCTTTTTGAGTTTGACTGTAGTCGGAGCTGTGTCTGCTATTGATCAGAATCACATCACAGAGAAGGATGTTGTGTAACACAGTCCAAGCACACACACACACACACACACACACACACACATACATCGCTGTGAGACAGACCTCTGGTAGAGATCTGTCTCAAAGCTTTGGCTTCAGATTTTATCCCTCACAACAGTCTCCTCTGAGGGGGTAGAGGGCAAACAAACTCCACAAAGCTTGCCCCATGCCCCATGCCCCATGCTATTTACATCTTGTTATCATTGCTAGACACACACTGGCTCCATGAAAGAGAGTAGGCTTATCCAAATAAAATAGCATAATAAGGTATTAGTGTTATTTTTCTCAGTGGGGTGAAAAGCCTGCAACACACCAGCTGTAAAACACATTGATGTTGCCCTAAAAAAAACAAAATTTCTTTACTTATGCTTTCATTTATTTCCCTTAAAATTCTGCATCCATAAAAAAATGGAGCTGTTGTAATTATGCCTGTTTAGCCCCTCTGTTGAATCCAGTTAATTCTGGCGTCATTTCCTATCAATCAGGATACAAAGAAATACAAATGTACACCCTCTTTATCAAAGTCACCCGCACTTCTCAAGTCTTTGGCCTGTGAAGGATATACATGATTTCGATGGGGTCCATGGTGATTGGCTCGAACATGCTGCAGTCGCACTTGTTGTCCACCACCACCATGAAGAGATTACTGCTGGGGATCTGCTGGATCACAAAGGACCTGCCAATCACAGCAAAGACAGCCAGAAACAGATGAAAAAGAAGATGAGGAAGGAAGAAGGAGCTTTGAGAGTTGCATTGGCGAGCAGACAAGGCACATGGGTATGATGTGAATTTGCTTGTGTGTCAGAGGATTTGTGTTATGAGTGTTCACATTCTCCCCCGGCGGAAAAGGAGATGCATGTCAAGAAGATGACTTGTCTCGTTGCCAGCTGTCAATAAACATAAAAAGACAGACTCACGGCAACACACAGACGTTAAATATACACACTATCTTTTCTGACTCAGCCCTCTTACTCATTCCTTCTTCTTCCTTCTCTTTTGTCTTTGTTTTATCCCATCCAAAGCGAGCGCCAATGAAGTGTTGCCGGATATAAAACAATCCAAAGGAAGACAAATGGGAACCACACTTTTGTGCTCACAGCTTCCCATGACTGTGTTTTACTGGCCTAAGAGATCAGGGCTCGCCTCGGCCTCCTGGCCAGTGATTTACGAGCGAGGATAGGCTTTATGAATAAGAGAGGCCGTAAAGATGATCTCTTCTTTCTGTCACCCTTTCTTTCTTTATCTCTTGCTCCTCTGCCTCCCTCTCCTCTGCGGCAGCTGGGAGATTTATCGAGTTCAATGTGAGAGATTTATCAGACATGTATGAGAACACGCATGTGTGATTGCATGAACACACACACATGCAGAAATACTACACACACCCACACTCAAGTTCTGTGAGGCAGAGCAGGAGACCTGATAGAGCAAAACAGACCTACAGGAACATCTCAGTACTTACTAATTCAATATTATGACCAATTTAATGTAACCACAAGCAGCCTCCAATCCCTGTGTAGCACCAACACACTGCACTCTAATACACACATCCCACTGTGACCAACCAAACCCAACCAAACCAGACCAGCAAATAAGCCAAGCCAGTTCCAATCAGAGTGAATTAGTATCTGCTGATGTTTAATAATCCGTGCTCACCCCTGCACAGCGCCGGCCCAGCTCAGCCTGCTGATAGAAAGCAGAGCAAGTGTTCTAGGAGCAAAGACTTAAACACATCCTGACAGCACAGCTGCTGGCCTTGAACATACCCGGTGCTGGGAAAGGGAGCACTACACTGCACATACATGCACACTTGGACTCAAAGACAGAGACATTTAAGCATACTCTCTCTCTCTCTTTCTCTCTCTCGCTCAGAAACACACAGATGGCCAACACTGTGCTTTCTTCTTGACATAGTGTCCTGATGCTGAGGCTTCAGGTGGCCAGCTAACCCACCAAGCAACTGACAACTAGGACATCCAAATTTATTTCATAAACATTCAAAATATGGAAGAAGGAAATGAAAAAGAGCAATCCGCAGAGAGAGACAGAGACAGAGAGGGAGAGACTTGGCATTAAAAGAAGAAATAAATCAAGAGTTAGATTCATGTTCAGCATAGACAAAAGAATGTGTCATCCTGTAAAAGTCCTGTCAAAACACATCGCACGATCTTTAGCTGGAGATGATGGAAACTAGCGCAGCTTATCAGCAATTTCTTATCATGAAGTAAAAAGTCTTACACATCCAGTGTCAGCTCTTCTGACGCTCATTTTAATGAGAATATTTCACATCCCATTATGCATTACACGTTCCTTGCTTTTTGATGAAAATCAGCAGCAACGTGAATCTATCGAAACACTCTGCGCTCAGTTTTGGTAAAGTGTAATATTTCTGTCGGTCGTGTACAGAATCTTCACATTTTCCCTATGATTTAATCATTGCATAACTAACCATAACCCGAGCTGCACGCACTGGATGGTTTTTTTAAAATCTGTCATCAGAATTGGGAAATTTGACCAATAATTACTGAGTGTTATTTAACAATTACTAATTCATTGAGCTGAGATTGCCCCAGTGAAACCTCAACAAACAGACTTGTGGCTTTTGAGAGCAATGCTGTCATTCTTTTTCCATTTCTCTCATTACTCTTGAGGGAAACGAGCAGCATGATCCCAGAACTCTCTTTTTTTTTAGACTTTCTGACACTTTTATATGATTCCAATATAAAGCATGCTCAGCAGGATATTAGAAGAGATTATATGATGAATTTTAGGTTTTGTAGCGCCTTGTAGCCTGTTACAAAATATAACTGAGAGCGTCTAACAAATGATTGTACAGGTTGAGTGACATGGTCAAAGAGAAGTTTAAGAAACTGAAAAAAGGAGATCAAAATATGAACGTGAAATGTAGTATTTGTAACCAAAGAAATGTTGAAAGCCGACGGCTCACGGAGAGAAGTTCAATTCAAAACTTAAAATAATTGTAATTCAATACACTTTTGAATGTCAAAATGCAAACTTATATTAGCATAACATTCATCTAAATCATGAAGTACACATAAAAAGCTTGTTAAATAAAGATCGCAATATGATATACATTCTTTTACTTTATTTTCTTATATGCTGAGCAAAATGCATTCAAATCTTTTTGAATACTTGTGCCGGGAACACGAATCATAAGCTTTTGCTATGTAGCATTATTCTTGTCATTCACATAGAGACACAGATGCATTTTAAGCATCTCTAACAGATGAAACCACGTCTAACCGTCTGACTGCCGCTCTGAGGCTGTAGCTCACTGCAGCTTTGAACCTCTCTCTTTCGGGATGGCCCAGAGCGTAATGAAGGAGTGTTTGGAGTCTGAAGATATATGGCTGTGAGTATTGTGGCTAATAGTCCCCTTGAAGACCTTTCTGGTTCGAGACGTGACACAGTCTTTGTCCTAAATCTCATGTTACAGCGGGGAGAAGCTGGCAGGGCATAAATGGAGGTTGAGTCATTCTATAGGAGCACTTAAGCCATTATATATGATATATATAAGTTCATTGTTTCTTGTGCTCTGACACTCAGTCGAACCCATCAGGAAGTAATGGACAAACACAAATAAGGACATCATGCACACACATAGTCATAGTACAGTAAAGACAGGTTTAAAAGGCAAGAGCTAAGGGTTTTTGTTTCCTAAAGCATAAAAACATACACACGTTTCCTGATGAAAATATGAGAGAAGGCCTCAGTCTGCCTGTAATGTGAAACAGATGTTTATCACCAATATCCTCTATTACTAATATGAGCAATAAAATTCCATATACCCCAAATAAAAGCTCCATTTCACTTTGTTGAATTCATTGTGCTCTAAAAAAGATTTATTTGAAGACATGTTGCTCAGAGCACGCAGCCCTGTCCGCTAATCCCAGCGCTGGTGTCATCATTGAGGATGAGTCCATTCTTCTCTAAAGCGAGCTCTTTTGTTGTGTGTGTGTGTGTGTGTGTGTGTGTGTGTGTGTGTGTGTGTGCTGTGAGTGTGTGAGAAACAGCTTGTGTGTGTGTGTGTGTGTGTGCTGTGAGTGTGTAAGAAACAGCTTGTGTGTGTGTGTGTGTGTGCTGTGAGTGTGTAAGAAACAGCTTGTGTGTGTGTGTGTGTGTGCTGTGAGTGTGTAAGAAACAGCTTGTGTGTGTGTGTGTGTTTGATGGGGGTCTGAATGAATCCCCAACCACATTCTACTCCTAGCACCCAGGGCAGTGGTTACCCTGCTGACCACACACACACACACACACACACACACACACACACACACACACACACACACACACACACACACACACACACACACACACACACACACACACACACACACACACACACACACACACACACACAATTCTGAGCTTCCCTGGCAGCTCCACAGCTGGGAGCAATGAAGGGCCCTACGGAGGGATCCAGAGAACACCCCACAATTGCCTGACAGAAAAGCCCAAATTGTTAATGGGGACCACACTCATTTTCCCATTTTTAAAGGAAGCCTTTTTTTTCACCTCTCTCCCTCATCTAAATGCCTCGTATTTCAAACTGCCACAGTAGAGAGTGTGTGTGTGTGTATGTGTGTGTGTGTGTGTGTTCCTAATGCACTGCCAGGATAGAAGTGTCTTCAACAGACAACAAATGATTTCAATGTGTTTCCCATTATCCGGGATTATGCAGATAAGAATATCCTTCCGGGATGAGAGCTAACAGGCTTATTTATTTTTTAATTGTTTTGCTTAATTTTACAGCGATCTCCGATGTGTTTCATTCAAAAGTAGACGTTTCGACAGTTTGCATGTTTTTGACGTGTGTTCACATGTGTTTTATGTAGCGTGTGTGTGTTTGTCATACTTGATACATCCATCACAGTCAAGGTTGCCGGTGTTCTCTTTGATGGTTCTCTCTGAGATGAAGGCTGGGTACTCTGTGTCACACGGTACCTGCATGGACCGACCCATCCTCTGAGCTGGAGAGATGGAAAGAGAGATAGAGAGAAAGAGAGACAGTAGGAGGGAGAGAGTGATGGACAGAGAGAGAGAGAGAGAGAGAGAGAGAGAGAGAGAGAGAGATGGGCAGAGAGAAAGAGAGATAGAAACAGAGCAAGAGAAAAATAAATTGAGTGAGAAAGCGATGGAACATCCATGTCATAGTCAAATACATGTTCAAAATAGCTTTGCAAAGAGATAAGTAAGCAAACATACCACATCCTTGCAAATATACAAGTCTGAAATAAAGCAGCTTTTCAGAACCAGAGCTGCCTCTCACTTTGGGACACATTTCTAGTATAATTCTAGGCTGGCATTTTATGCAGCATAGCTTGAACTCTCCTGCCACCCAGAGGTTTCTGACATCACTGCAGTATATATATATATACTGTATATAAAAAAAAATCATATATATTTGCCAACATGATTTAATGCATTCTTTAAAAAAAAGCAGCTTATGTATTTAAATTAGCATAATATAAATAAGCACATAAAAAAGAAGCACTTGTTTTATAAGCAAATATTTTACCTCACACCTAGTTTTCTTCAGACGGGGGGATTATGTGAGGGATTTGAATGGAGTGTTTTAATTACTGGTGTTCAGCAGTGTGGCATTATTGTGTGAAAAAAAAAATTAAATGTGCAGACGTAAATATGCATGCCAGTTAGTTACACAGCCTACATGTATAAATGCCTGGGATTAGTTCAACTCGAGAGGCTGTGTAGATTGGGTTACGGACTGCTAAATTGGGGTGTTTCAGCAGAGTGTCACAGGCCTGTGTCTCTATTGTAAAAAAAGATAGAGAAAGTGCTGCTAAGACCTGAGGCCAGCCAGCTGTGAAATTGTCTCGAATGCTTGGCGAGCAGCGATGCCCAGCTTCACTTCGTTCTGGATAAGAGTGCGCAAGGAAAACATTTTATAGACTTTCATTTTGCGGTTCTTTTCTCTCTCTAAGCTCTCGTACAAAATATTTTCATATTAGTTTTGGCTAAAATGAATACTAAATTGTGATGCTACTTGGTGAGGCTTTAATTTCAAATGGGCGAACAGTATCCAGCACTCAATAAAGCGCGAGGAAACACAGAATGCATAGCTTGGCTTTAAAAATGTGAGAATGTGCGTGCAATTGTGGAAGAAAGTGAGACAGAACAACAAAGGAAAGACACAAAACCAGAGAAGAAGAGAAGAGAAAGAAAATAGAGAGAGACGGAGGACTTTTTTCTCCTGTTACAAAGCGGATATTACTTCTAACCACCACCAATATGACACACATCCCTACAGATCATAAAAACATCAAGTATATAACCCCCTCTGGACACACACACACACACACACACACGAACACACACACACACACACACACACACACACACACACACACACACACACACACACCACACACACACACACACACACACACACACACACACACACACACACACACACACACACACACACACACACACACACACACTGAGGTCACTTGAGGTAATCTCATGTTCTGCCATTTTTACTTTTAGGTTTTGGATTGTGTGTCTTTATTCTGTTTTTCCAGCAGTGGTCACACTGACTCAGAGGAAGTGGAGGGGAGAGGGTGAGGAGAGAGAGAGAGAGAGAGAGAGAGGAGGTCAGTGCTGAGGACACTGGTTGTTTATTCTGTATGAAATGAGCTCAAGCAGAAGGATGAAAAACAGAGTGTTGGTCAGCGTCCGTTTTCATTTTTGGATTCTTCTTTTGAGACAGAAATAAAAAAATTCAAGTAGCGTAGACATCCAATGAAAAGAATGGTCCCCTTTGTATGAATAAGATATTTAGAGCAACAACAATCACAAAAACAACACAATACTGAACTGTTTTCCTGGATATAACGTTTAGGTAAAAAAACAAATAGGTTAACTAAATAACACATCCTTATTTTTTTTAAAGAACGACATGGACCCATTTCATATGTTAAAAAATCCTGTAATGGATGCTGCTGCAGATAAATGACTGTTAAGATGTAAAAATTAATTTGCTCACATAATTCGATCCCAGAATTCTTCTAATCCTACAAAAAGTGCAAACAAACTTCCCAAATTAAGCAAATGAACAGTACATTACGAATGATAATCCTGATTCAACTTCTAGATGTATTATAAGTATTTGCTGTGGAACATTTTTCAGGATGTTCATTACGGAGCACTTTATGCGTCTCATACAACCCACAAGCTACAAAGTATTTTCAACTTCTGCGGACATTCCAATAAAACACGGCAGGCCATTTGAGCAGCTCTTACAGTTCATATGAAACAGCCGTGAGTGCATGCACAAATCATTTTCTTATTTGTAATATAAATAAACTTTTTTTGTTTATTTTGACAATAACAATATAGGCTGTATACTTCATGAATGCAGGAGAGGGAGAGAGAGAGAGAGAGAGAGAGAGAGAGAGAGAGAGAGAGAGAGAGAGAGAGAGAGAACATGCAGAGTGTGTCTTACCTTTCGCTGTGAGGTCAGAGTGCCACCAGCTGTAAAAGTTAAACTCCACCAGGAATCTAAACGTGGAGAAGAAATCGATCATACCAACACACTCTAATATACAATTATATAATACAAACTGCGACACTCTACACTGCATTCCAGACATTTATCCATACAGGATACACGTCTCTCAAGGGCTCGAGTTGGGCAAACTGTTTATTTACACAACAGATGATGGATTCTGCTTCAAAAGAAACCATGGCGCAGATATGAATCTTTGCTTACAGATAAGAATCTTTGCTTATTGGCACCTATCCTAGTCACAGTTCAGTGACTGAAAAAATAAGTTCTGTCTTACTTTATTTGCTTCTTCTGCCTCAAAGTATTTCAAGGAAATAAATCGTGAAAAGCTTTCTCAAGAAATGACAGTTAAATATTGACTAAGACCACGCAAGCTGGAGCTCCATCTGACGTTTTTAAAGTAAATTTGGTAAATACTCTCAAGTCTTCTCTTCACTTCAGTCTGTGGGAAGTTTTGAGTTTTATGTCAGTTAAAGAGTCTCCTTGTTAAATAGTCCTTTTGATTTCCTTATCTTGTCATAAAAATGTTGTGAGAGTGCGGATGATTTGGTCTGATGCCCTCTTTTTTAGTTTTTCAGGTAAGACAGTTTGTTGAATAAATGATCCAAATGATAGTGTGGGATTTTCAAAGTTAAAGCTGAAATCAGTGAAATGACGAAGATGATGCTTTCAAGGGCTCTACACTGTTTCCCTATTGCTTAGTATTTGCATTTTTTTTTACAATATCTTTTCCTATAGTGATGGCTGTAGATTTTTTTTTTAAACCTAATCTTACATATTTTCCCTCTGATATGATATAGGATTAATAATCTCATCTCAACTCAAATGAAGAAAAGCAAAGACTAAAAACAATAGACATAAATAGAAAGATCACTAACGTCTCAGGGACACAAAAAAAAAACAGTCCTTAAAATTAGAACTGACAACTCAGTGTTCCCATGATGCACTGTGGTGGTAACAGACCACCCAGACAGACTCTGCAACCACAACATGGCATCACAGGAAACATCAGGTAGCCATTACAGCTTATGATCACTGACGATCATGTGGACATACATGTGGAGGAACTAGTAAACAAACATGCAGTTTACATATAGTAACAAACACGACCTCATCTGAAGAAATGGGCAACATATGAGTGCTGAAAAGTACATAGATGTGTTATTTACAAACAGACAGAAGACACATACACGGACACAGAAGTCTTACATGACAAGCTCAGTCAGGATCCACTTTACAGCTGTGAACACAGCAAAATACGGCTAAAAGGGGAAGAAAAGGGGGGGGGGTACATTTTTAGATGCTAAAACCCATCAAATACTGTATAACGCAAATTTTTCTTGTGAGCAAAAATGCAGTACTCACATCCAACAGTGTGTGTCCACTATCACTACTTTCTGAAAAAACCCAGCACAGAGCCTGGTAGTCATACAAAGTGACCCTGAGTAGATAAAGATAGAAACATGAGTGCAGCGTGTGAGACACAGATCACAAATAGAGATAGAGTCAGGCAAAGTAGGAGAGAATGTTTCATATCTATTTAACTGCTTAAAAGTAATACATTTATTGTGAAGATAAAGCCCAGATAAGGTGAGATAAGTCCTGTTTCACACTTTATCTCTTCTATTACAAGCCTGCGGGGTCTGCTCGACAGCTGTGTGGGAGCAGGAAGGACAGATCCCACCTCTGCTTTAGCCGCTGCTTTACCTGCGCATGATATATTGGATGGATGTGGCAAGAACGGGAAAGGGAAAGCAAGTGAAAGCTGAGAGCTTCCCTTGAGGTTCCTCAAAGCGATGTAGGAAGGTGGGTGTGTGTGTGTGAGTGTAGATGATTTGGGGATATTGGAGGGGATATCAGAGGATTTAAGGGCTTAGCGGACCCTCAGGGTGTGAGGTCTGGCTCTGTCTGGGCGAGGTTATTGAAGGGATTCCTAACACACACTTGCGCACACAGACGTCTACACACTGGACACTCTCTCTCATGGCCTGTGGACAAGTTCCTGTATACTTGAGGATACTTAGTGTGTGTGTGTGTGTGTGTGTGTGTGTGTGTGTGTGTGTGTGTGAGTGTGTGTGTGTTTGATGTGTGAGTGGGTTCAGTCTATCCACAGCTCTGGGCGATGTTCAAACCTCAAGTCACAGCAACAGTGACACATAGCTCCAACACACCGCCAGGAACCAATTAGTGCTAAGCCGGGCCAAGTAATGGTGTTAGCAGCAAACTTAGACCAATGTCATATTTGTGTGTGGGTGTGTATGTGTGTGTGTGTGTGTGTTTGCACAGATGTGTGATTACTGCATAGGCATGTGAGAGAGCCATTCATTCGTTTTTCTTTTCATGGGAGCATAACATCTCTTTTTTTTTTTTTATTGATCTCTCTTTCTATTGCTCGTTTATAAAGATGGATAATCCAAAAGAAACAGAAAATAATTTGTGTGCATTTGTCTTCATCTGCAACCTCGATGCTGACTCATAAATCCACGCTGGCGGCTTATTTAGACTTTTAAGTGGTGCACTTAAAAAGTCCGCCTCTATTTCTTTTTAATCATGACAGAAACCGATGCTGTTGTCACGAGCATTAATTCCCCAGAGATGGCGCTGAGTTACGACAGATTTATTCATGTTACGATCGAGAAGCTCTATTACTTAATCGACATGAGAAATACTTTTCATTCATCATGTTTTGTGCTCATTTTTCAACAATCCATCATCACACGAGTTTAAAGATGCAGTGAAAGAGCTTGTGAGCTGCTTTGTTTTTTATGAGTGGGAAAGCATTTGCTGTCAGCTTTTAGAAGTCCAGCCTTCTGATAAACAGGCGTAGTTGTCTGCTTGTGCGATGATTTGTCACCGTGATTTTTATGCTTTGAGACATTCGTTTAAAATGTTCTTACCCGCTTCCCAACAGCAGCAGGGACTTCTGGGTAATGTCCTAAAATAAGGTGTTGGAAATAGGTCTGTAAGCCTATGAGCACTCCAAATTTAAAGTTTACCTTGCACTCGGGTTATCTAAAGACTCCATAAATGATATATCGTACTAGTTCCACAGTCAAAATACAATCTGTGTCTGTCTGTGTCTGCATCTCTGCTAATTCAAGGAAAGATATTCTCCTGGGTTACATTTCCGAATTAATCGCAGAAAGGCTCCACCCACTGCTCATGGCATTTTCCAGGAGACACAGCTCTATGACTTGCAGCGTATGCGTGAAGTGTCTAGATGTGTGTGTGTGTGTGTGTGCGTGTGTGTGCGCGTGTTTTGTGTGCATGTGTGACTTTGAGTTTCTCCTAATGCTTTCATTTCAGGAAAAGATTTGCTGTAATCCCCGAATGGAGAACTCTGCTGAGCCAGGGGTCGGAGTTCAGCACTGAATAGCTCAACAGGATTGGCCAAGTGAAGAGCTGTCATCACAAGACGAGACATGCTCTCATTCTGTAACCTTCCTGGTGTTATGCACATACTGTACATTTACACCATAGACTGTAAATATTAATGGACGAAGCCTGAGTGACTTCACTCATCTGTAACTGCAAGGGGCTTTGGAAGCCTGTCGATGGCGGTCGCCATGCTGGAAATGCTGTCTTAACCTATTTTTAGTCAACCTAACATCAGGCTAAGGAGCTGGAGCTGACGCCTCCTGACAAAGAGCTACAAAGCCCCTCAGTCAGGTCAGCTACGAGCCGTATTGTGAATAATATGTATTCTTCATAAAATCACAGTAGATGAGTTATCAAAAAATGCCTCTGCTGTAAAGTGTGTGCTGATAGAGACATGAGCTAAGACAGGCTATTTCTTTTTTTGAACCAGGCTGTCAACATGTTTATTTCTACTGTAAAAAACAGCTTTTTTTAAATGGGTGAGTATGTGCATTGTGGTGCTTCTGCAGCCAGCCTCAAGTGGACACTTCGACAAACTGCAGGATTTTGCACTTCCACACTGGCGTCATAACAGGGATACATACAAGTGAAGTACATGTACTTGTGCTGGCATAAAGACGTTAACACACTTACACATGCACTTTCAAACAGGTGACTTACCTCTTGAAAGAGCCCATCTGCAGAAGCTTACTCATTACAGCTCCCTCTGCTTCTCCGAAAAACTTCCCTGTCTGAGAAATAAGAGAAATAGATTGATACAAGTCATGTTAAGCTGATACCTGTGTTTTTCTGTGTTTTTTTTTTTTATAATAGAAGAAGCTCTAAAAGGTAAAAAATATGACACACAAAGTCCAGATCAGATTTGATGGGGAAAAAACAGCATAAATGAAACCCTAAAACATGCAACCTCATCCTTCTGCCAAGTGATCAATTTAAAAACACACATTCAGAACAGAACTAAGGATCAAACCTTACAGTCATTGCATTCGGAATTGTTGGAACGAAAAAGTTCCTGATATTTTGCTGCTGACCTGGACAGACTCAAGACTGCTCCAATTCAAAATGTGTAGGGATTTTCTTTTTTTATGTTCCATCCCAACCGTTCATAAAAGATGGCTATCCACCAATGAATCTGCATCTTCAAGGTTTCTGCCTGTTAAAAGGAAATTATTTCCATACTCATGCTGCTCTTTATGTTAGGTTTCATGAAATAACAGTTATGTTAATTTGGTACTATATAGATAAAAATTGATTGATTTGTTTACATTTTTACTGATAACCAAAATTAGACATGACTAGTGGGGCCCTTAAATGTTTGGTCACCTTCAAATCACGATCGAATAAAGAAAAGGAGCCAACGAGTGAGCTGCACATGAAAAGAACATGCAGACCGAGGGAAGGGCAGTGACAGCCAGCGGACTGGCTTCTAGATGAGCCAAAGCTGGAGTGACAGCATGTCTGGTGACAGCTAAGCAGAGGGTATATGCTAGGGCAGCAGCACGTCTCCTTGAGAGCAGTCCAAACAGTATGCATGAGACACAGGACACAATTATATAACAGCAAAAGATATAGAATGAAACTTTACACTTGGATTTCCACATTACATTTTTCTTGTCTTGATATAAATGGTAAACTCACACTTGGCACAAAAGCCATTGTGTAGCTTTATGATGTTGGTGTCATGCTAGTAGGTTGTGGCAAATGGCCCTTCTTCAGCTAAACTTTAAAGAACAGGGCGCCGGTTTGGATTAGTGGATGATGCACGGCTCATGTAGAGAGGCTGTAGCCCTCATCACAGAAATTGTGGGTTTGAATCAGACCTCGGCCCTTTGCTGCATGTCATCCTCCACTCTCCCCTCCAAACATTTTCTGTCTGTCTTCAGCAGTGCAGTCATATAAAGGCAAGAATGGCCACAAGAAATACAAAACAAAACGAAATAACAGACTCAAATCCAACAAAGACTTCTTTGAAACTGACTTTGATGCATCCTTTTTGCTGTTTCTGCTGTACGCTGGCTCTATAAAGCAGACCATGTGCATCTAATGTCTTACCAGAGTATAGTCCTCTGCTACCAGAACGAAGCCGTTGTTGTCGATGAGGTAGCAGTTAATGTCCTGTAAAAGGCAAAGTGTTAAAGCAATTGTAATGAGCAAAAGAGACCACATTGTTTTTATTTTATCAGGAATATAAAAGCTGACTGACCTCATCATCACAGCTTATGGAGCATTTTCCATCTAATGCCGCACACTGTGAGATTAAAAAAAGACATCAGCACACTGGACCTGGTCGTCTAAGCAAATATTAAAATGGTTTGGCTAAGAACACAGAGCAGCTTTGTCAGCTGTAATCATCTTCCTAAATGATTCCCTAATAAAAAGTTTTACCAAAATAAGTCAAATAATTTATGAAATAAATGTGCAATACAGTCGTAGCTTAATATCTAGGAGTTACAACAAAGTGGTTTTGAATATGACACATGCAAGTTGTGCGTTTGTGCATACACACCTGTCTGCTGGCTGTCCAGAACTTCTTCTGGAAGAACTCCAGTTTCATCTGGATGCCAACAGCTGAAAGAGAGAGACAATGCAGTCACAACAGGACAATGTGTTCTGTGTGTTTAAGTTAGAGAAAGAATGCTCTTTATTACAGTCGTCCAAATGACAAGAGAGTGATTCAGTATAAATGCACAGAGTCACAGTGCATCTTTTCATGAATCCCCATCAACTACATTTCCATGAAAGCAAATTAAAAGTGTTTTCCTTTATTTTCTGGAAGGCTGTGTTTATGTCATGCCCTACTTTCTGCACACATATTGCACTCAGATTAGCCAACCACACTCAAAATGCAGTTTCACACATTTCTAAACCAGACATCTTTCCCTGTGACCAAATGTAATCCCCTCCATTCCTCAGTCGGCCTCCCTGTTGTTTTCCACACAGCCATTTCCAGAGCTGGTATACAGAACCTCTCACATCCAAAAGCCTCATCACAGCAGGTCCCTAAATGCACAGATCTGACCAGAATTCCTCGCCTGGAAAAATCCCAGTGCCTGACATTAAACATTTCAGATTTTTTTTTTAGAGTTAGCTGAGGAAAAATTGACACATTCACCACAAGCTTTAACCAGGCCCCTCTCCTCATCATCCTCTTCTCCCACTACCCCCAGCTACTAAGACTCAGAGGAACCTAGCTTTGTCTCAGTGGGGGTTTGCCATGCGTTTGGGGGTCTTTAAATCTACCCTAGAGCAAAAACACAATTTTCATCCAAATGAAGAAAAGATGAGGGTGTCAAATTGAAGAGAGTGCAGCATTTGGATGGATTTCAAATGTGGTAAAGTGTGCAAAAATAAAACAGATGCACTGATTGGACAATGTTTTTTACTTAATGTATCTACTGTAGCGGATAATGAGCTAATAAAAAATAAATGTAATGATTATCATTAAATTCTGTACACGTCAATTGTAGGATGGGATTTTATACGTAGGGAAGGGGAATGTATAATAATAAAGAAAATATGTTTAAAAATCACATCAAAATCTGGACCTTATGCAAAGAATCTTGCAGAGGCATAGTGGAGAAGAAAGTGATAAAGTTTCATGCATGCATACATGTAAAATGCTCCAGAAACAAATATATGTTAATGTATTGGGCAAAGTTGCCTCCAGGCTGCAATAAAACTAATTTGATAACAATAAAATGGAATTTATCAAGACCAAACCTTTTTTTGTTGCTGAAAATGTGATGCCTGCATTATTAAAAGAGCATCTCAGCCCTGGCTACACAAAGTGCCAATTACTAGATCGATAGCTCATTTTAGCAAGAATACCCTCAACGTATCTATAGCGGCTAAGTCTAAAACTTAAAGCCACTAAGGGGCTACATAGACGGGCTAATCTAGCCTAATAATTGACACGCTTGCCGGCTTTGGTCCTGAGCGTAAGAATGCAAAATAAGACGGTCCAAAATCTTTTTTTTTTTTAAGAAATATTTATTTGTCATTCCATCGTTGTCTTGATTAATGTCACATGTGCGATGTTCAAACAATAATGCACATTTCCATTCACATTCACTCTGTTACCTCATAGCGTGGCGTACAGCGGTCAAAAAAGTGTAATTGCTCCCCGTCTAGCAACACCTGACACTCCAGTGATAGTTCCTACCTATATAGTGTTTCACCTTAACCTAAAGGCGACACCTGCTGGAAGAATTTGTGTTTTGCATTTCCTAAACATGGCTCCTACAGTATCAGTAAGAAATATTCCACTGGCTTTGCACTTCTTGCAGTCTAATTGTGCATTTGCATGATTTTGGAAGTGCAGAGGGGAACTGCTGTGGCCTGTTTTAGCCCCTTGCCCAGAGGAACAGGTGCAGATTATCCCGTCATAAGCTTTGCCAGATCCTTTCAGCAGCCCACCATTTCCACACCCACATGGAAAACCCAGGGGGACGGGCTAATTTAAGATGCTGGGCAACAGCAATGGAAACACACATGGTGCAAAACCAGGGGAGAACATACATCATTAAGATAATAAAAGATACAGGATCATCTTGTCTGAAAAAGCTGTAACAACAAAGGAATAGTGCCGGAGAAGGTCAAATTAAGCTGTCAAATGTTAATATCCTGTATTGCGACACATGAAACATTCAAATAAAACAAAGCGTTAAAAAAAGTGAAAACACACCTCATCTAAAATATGAATGGTGCATTTGTAATTTAAACTAAAAATGAAAGGAATAATATTATACGGGATAGAATATCTGTTCAGCAGGGGAAATAATTCATGGAAATAAAAATCCAATATGAGCAGTAGAGGAGAAAAGTATTAGATGTCAGAGGTGCACTCGTGTTGGCCGTTAAATGGGAGTCGGCTCAGGATGAAAAGACAAAAGCCCAAATCCGTCTCACTAATGCTCGGGAATTTTCTGTACTACGGGGGAACATTTAATTTCCCTAGGTATGATTTAAGAACTTGGGGCTATTTATGCTCTGAGCTGGGTTTATGAGTCCAATGATGAGGAGACGCAAAATCCTCTCCAAATCCACCACATCACCAATCTGCTATCAGCGCTATCCCAGGCAGGGAGAGATGACAACCGCTTTAAATCCTACAGGTACTTGGGATTCTAATAAGGACTGTATATGCATGTACAACTGTCAGCGCGAGGGTGTACACGAGTGTGCATATGTGTGTGCTTGTGAACAGACTGTAGCAAGGCCAAGCATACAGCATGTAGGTGTGTATTTTAGTTTTTAGGCTTAAATTCAAATCTCAATGACAGATAATCACCTCTAGGACACTTATTAACTCACAAACAAGTGTCACATACACAGAGCTGTCTGGGAGATGTAGTGATTTGCAAATGTGGTCATGCAGTTTGCAGGGGTAGATAGCTTCAGGATGCTGAGCAACATTCAAAGCATGAGCTGTTGTTAAGGATGCCATCCGTCCACAAGACTTAGGCTCCACTGACCTCTCCTGCCTGTGCATTCTTGTTTAGATAAGCTAAAGGACTGAGATTTGCTGTTGCAAAATCCACTTAAGAGAATGAGGTTATTGTGATAGTATTTTTTCAAAATGTCCTCTGAACGAGTCTTCAGACATATTTAAACACAAGGCATGCAAAACACATCTGTAATTTGCCCTTAAGGCTGTAATGCCACAAGCTTTAAATGCGTCAGAGATGCACATGATGATAAAAAATGATGCCTGGTAAGAGCAGGAATAGTAGGGCATGTTTTCTCTCTCCTCTTTTGTAACTTGATGCTTAACAATTTTAGACATTGCATCACAAACACAACAGGCTGTCAGTTCGCATCAACCATATGGGTTTTTAGCAAGCACAGAGGCGTCATCACACATTTAAGGACTTGTTTGCCTTTGTAGGTGTACATGACCACTCAAGTTTTACTTGTTAGTGTGTGGGTGTGCAGGCCCCTATGTGCACATCTTAAGCACATTGATGCATGAACTTATTGCTCGAGGCAGATATCTTGGCACCATTACTGCGATAAATTCTTTAAATATGAGCTGGTGACACTCATTGATTGCAGTCCTAGCTGCATATGACAGAATGAAAATAATTGTCATGCCCTTCAGCAGATGAAAGGATATAAATATGGATGGACAGGAGGGCAAATACAAAGGACGGTATGACAAGCCAAGGTCAGCTTGTAAGCGTAATCATATCTATCGTTCTTCATAAATGATTTGATCATTAATCTCTTTCTGTCTCTCCCTTTGTTCGTCTTTTTTGCTTCTTCTCCAAATGACCCACAAGCTGATAAAAGCTTAACAGTCAATCCATTTTCATGCAAAGATAAAAAATAAAAAATAAAATCCATGCAAATTTCCTGCAACAGCTTAATATCCTGCTGTGAGCGTGTGAGCGCGTGTGCATGCGTATGTGTGCATTCTTGCGTTCTGTGTTGCTGTGCTGGGGGCGTGTTCTGCCAGCCCTTCTACCCACGGCTCATGCATAATATCATCAGTGCATGCCACAGCGACGGGCATCCTCACTGTGTGTGTCGAAGTGTTTGCGTATTTGGTGTGGACACACTGCAACCCAGATCTAATTTTGTCTTGTTGTTCAACCCGTTTGCCAGAGTGATAGGAGGGAACGTGAATGTCAGCATACGTGTATGTGTGTGATTTGAGAGATACAGCTGTCCGCTGGGAGATGACACACCATCACACTCACTGAATACAACTGGGGAGCTGAGAGAGCGGGCGAGCAAAACAGAAGAAGAGAGAGAGAGAGGGTCAGGTTGTTGATTTGGATTCAGGAGAGGATTAGACATAAAACTAAGCACAAAAGGAGAATGGAAACTGCATGAAGAAGAATACAAGGGACAGAAAGAGAGGGTTGAGAGATAGTGAGAGAACGAGATAGAGAGATAGAGAGAGCGAGAGAGAGCGAGAGAGAGAGAGAGAGAGAGAGAGAGAGAGAGAGAAAGAGAGAGAGAGAGAGAGAGAGAGAGAGAGAGAGGCAGAGCTCCCATTCTCCAGTGATTCCCACACTAGCTGCCTGGATGGCAGTAAGCTCGGCGCTCTGATCTGCACCCTCTGATGGGGTTTCTTGCCTGCGAAGTCAGGGCTGAGGATCCTGAAGGCATCGCAGGTTTTGGTTACTGATTTGGCCTCTTGTATTTGTGTGACCTATGACCAATGAGAGCCAGGACAAGTAGTCTCAACCTAACTGATGGCTGATGGATCATCAACCAATGACGGTCATTAGAATCCAAGAAGGGAGTTAAAAGAAGACCGAACGCAAGCAGCCAAAGGACAACTGGCAGAAATGAGAGGTATGAGATACATTACTTGGAAGAATATCAACATGAATGCATTTGTATGTGTGTGCATTAGTAGATGTGGATAGCTAGTTGGGATGCTATCAGTTCCTGAGGCTATAATGTTGTGTGTACTGTTGTATAACCGAGTGATACTAAAGCTTGGGCTGCATTTTCTTCTGATTTATAACACTCAAGTGCAACATACATAGCAGCCTGTTTATATTGGTTTTCCCTCCAAGTGTGATTGACATTGGTACCAAGCTGACTTGAAGTTGCACTTGCAGTGCATTGTGTGTGCATGTCATTAAAAGCTTCCCTGTGTGTGTATTTGGACTGGAGGGACACATCAGAGCAAAGAGCCATTCTGCTGTGTTGACCTGATTCCAGAGCTGCTGTTACAACGCTCCACTGATCATGTGCCTCCATATATGCATTGTACGTATATGAGTATGTTTATGAATGTGTGCACACATGGGTGAACATGTGATTGAATGCATCCTCCCATACACACACTCTCACGTATCTCACACAGATGCAATTAGCTAAGGGCTTTGCAGAGCTCTGAATAAAAAAAAAAAAAACTATGTTCTGATGTTTTTTTTGTTAAAGCGAGCAACATAATTATATAAAAACAACACTGCCAATGTACCAAACCAACACCTGAGATTAGACATGGGAGCAGCTGTGCATGATTATTTCCAAACCTGTGACTCAAAATCTACTGAAAAAACAAAAAAAACAAAAACAAATGCATGCTGCGATTGTACACCTGAGAAGCAGCTGTGTGAGTTGAGTATTGTGTTGCAAAAAGTAAGATCAAAATAACAGTTAGAGCATACTGTGACAATGAAATCAACATTCCTTGACTGTTAAGCTGAAAAGTTTTTCCCAGAAATAATTCTTGAAATTTGTAACAGCAGTTTATCACAAAGGCATCATTTGGGGGAAATAGTGAGGGAAATGATCTGCGATAAAGAAGAAAATTTGAGATATTTAAAAGGAAAATTGGCTTAAAACGCTCAATGTTTCAGTGACGATAAACACAGCTTATCTATATTTCCAGGATCTCTGTGTAACTTGCGAGCTAGTTACATGAGGCAGGCTTGAGCCTGAGATTCATTTCATAGAGCCTCAGGCTAGTCCAGCCAGCGCTATAAATACTGCTGTAATGTTCCCCAAGAAATGGACATGAGAAGTCATCTCAGAGGGAATCAGACACCCAATTTCTGCTGTGTATGGATTTATGTGTGGGTGAAGGGTTATGAGGCGACGGTGGAGTCGACAGGGGGCCACTGTCTGAGGGAGGGTGGGAGGTTTGAGATGACATATTCGAAATAAGTTTACTTTCTTGTTTATCACACAAAGAAGAGCAGCAACAAAGCCAACAGCAAGACTTATATAATGTTATAAAAAAAGTTATTTTCATACGACAAACCAAATGATCAATTTAAACCATAGATGTTCTGCTACAGTTTCTTCTGTCTGATACCAAGTATGATACAAAGACTTGAGGGTTGGCCAATACCAAGTACAAATCCATTAAAATAATATGCATATTATTGTTAAAAACTCATTCCTGATACGTTTGCTTTGCTACCTTTGGCTATCATTACTCTCTGCACCACAGTATGGTTGTTTGTTTTTAATACATGATAATTAACATTATTATTGTTATTATACTTGTACTAATAATTGTATGACACCGTTATTGGTATGTCTTGTTTGACAAATATGTTTATGAACTTCAGTGAAGGGGTTTTGATGGCAGTTGAAGACTGTGGTGTGAATGCAGTTATGTTAGTGTAGAACAACTTATTCTTTAGTAGACAAATATGTAGATGTCATATCTAATATTGTGTCCCCATGTTTCCACAGTGGTACTGGTTTGTGCCCTCCTCTCCCTCTTGCCGTCATCACAAGCCTGTCCAAAGGAGTGTAGCTGCAATGGCAACACCAAAGTTGTGGACTGCCAGGGTCGAGGCCTGTATGACATCCCTCGACGACTACATCCAGACACCCAAGAACTGTACCTCCAAGATAACCGTATAAGGGGGCTGGGATCGATGGCTTTCCGAGAAATACCGCTTGTTCGTATTCTCGACCTGTCTAATAACTCTATAACGTCAGTTTCACCGACTGCTCTGCTGGGTCTCCGAAGTCTACACCGCCTCAGCCTGGCCCACAACAGCCTCAAAGAGCTGGACAAACGGTTGCTTGGACCTATCCGTTCCCTTTCACACCTTGACCTCTCGCACAACAGGTTAAGACACAAAAATTGAACATATTCATATAACATATTTTTTCACACTCTCTTAACTTGATCACACAAAACCTATTGTATCGTATGTTTTTCATGCTATGTCCCTTTCTCCAGCCTGTGGGGTTTGCCTGGAGCCATTGGGGACAGTTTGAGGAACCTAAGCCACCTGGGACTAGCGCACAACAGAATAACAAGAATGGACCGCTCTTTGTTGGAGGCCCTGACCCGCCTGGACAGCCTCACACTACGAGGCAACCCCTGGAGGTGTGACTGCCAGCTAATAGGCCTCAAACTCTGGCTGGAGACGTATCTCTTCAAAGGTCAGATCACTAGTAGCTTTTAAGTAGAATGGAGAATATCTCAGATGTTACAAACTTTCATCCAACCTCTCCTCATGGGTATTAAATTATGGTAATGTTTCATTATGGAAATATTGACCTTCTAAACGAGTAAATATCCCACAACCAGTAGTGTACACAAATAGAAATAGCTGGAATCCACGGACAGTTTGCACAATGAGAGAGGAGCCTCTTCTAGAGATTAAAATACACTAACCCCAAATTGATGTAATGTTTATATATTTAGACCTTGAAGAGATTGACAGAGTGGAGATAAGAACAGGCTTAAAGGTCTGTCCAGTTATTAAAGATGGTGGAATGAATGTGTGTGTGTGTGTGGGGGGGTCATGTTATTTTCTGTGTGACAGGAGAAGGAATGCAGGTCATTTAGGGTTCTATACAACTATCAACATTTGATGAGTACGATGTGACCAGATACATGTCAAACCAAAAAAAAAGATAATGTTACAGTAATGACTTTATTTTTTTAAGTAGAGTCCTTATAGTGATTGCTGGCCCCTGAAATTGCCTGACCTTAAAGCTTGGTAAAAATGATGCCATAACAATCTCCTGAATAACGTTGATCTTCGGCATTATTTGCAGCTGCCTTTATGACCGCAGTAATGATCTCTACTGCCACAGGAAGAGATTTTACGCAGCCGATTGAGAGTTAAATTGCCAACTGCATTATTTTCTTCGCTAGATCAACCCCAGCATTAGATAACAAATAAGCACTGTACACTGAAAGCTAGGCTCGCTTGGTCCGCCTACATGCCCACGTTACTGTGACACGGCTTTCGTCTTCGAGGCTGTGAATTCTAATTACAGCAAAACAGAACAATGGACCATGATACAAGGATGTGTGCCTCATGGAAAGCCAGTGGTTAATCAGGCAGGCAGAGGGGGAACACAGTTTAACATGAAAACCAACAACGAGAACATTAAAAGGCATTCACGGGTCAACCAGAGTGCAGCTAAAGAGAACAAGTCAATGCTTAATTTTAGTTTATTGAACTGTTCACTGTATCAAACGCACTAGTGCAGTGCAATTCGAAGAATCCATGGCATCCCATCTTAAGTAATGGGTTTGTTCAGACTCAGCTATGATGATTATGGTTTTGGCTCTCTCTGCAGTAGGCTGCCAAAAAAAGAAAGAATGTATTTGACAGCAGGTAATGCACTTAAAACTGACTGTTGTATGCTCCCATCCCCCATCCATCCAACCTGCCACACAGTCTTTCTTTTTTCCACTCCTCTCTGATCTAACTACAATATCCATCTCTAATTCAAAGGTGGAGTAGTGGATGAGGTGCTTTGCTCACAGCCAGAAGAGATGAAGGACAGAGACCTACAGAAAGTCCCCTACCAGCTCTTTCATGCATGCATGACCACAAGCTACCATTACCTGTTTGCAAACATACACCACCTGGAGTCAGAGAGGCTGCTGCGAGGCCACACCCATGGCAACCATGCTCATCCCTCCAGCCACGCTCTCCACGTCCCCATGGTGATCGGGGAGGGTTTTGGTGTTGGAGGAGCAGGAGGAGGTGGTGGAGGAGGAGGAGGGAGTTTGCCAGAGTGTGAACCTAAGCAGAGGCCACGGCCTGTCAACCTGCGCCACGCGATCGCCACAGTGATCATCACGGGGGTAGTGTGTGGGATCGTGTGTCTGATGATGCTGGCTGCAGCAGTGTACGGCTGTGCCTACGCCGCGATCATGGCCAAATACCAGCGGGAGCTGAAGAAGAACGAGGAGTTGGCAGCAGCGCGGGGGGCGGATCACAAGAAAGCTGATGAGAAGGAACCACTGGAGAATGCTATTGCTTAAGAGTCGATAACATGAACCCTTGACTTAAAACCTGGGCCTCAACCCTTCAACCTGATCCTCTCTGAATGCCATGTGTGTTTGTGAGTGTGAGAAAAAAGAGAGAGTGAGACTATTTACATGTGTGATTGTTCACCTCCTGTCTGAGACTTGGGTAGCTGACTTCCACAGGTATTTGACTATGCACTGATAAGAGGAGAATCCTTTTTCTGTATGCGGGTTCAAAGGACAGGCCAAAGAATCTAAAAGGAATCAATTCCATTTTTCTGAGAAATGCATATTACAGATATGAACAAAATGCTATATATTTATAATAGTGTGTTTGTAGGTCTAATAGTGAAGCTCTATGTAGGAAAAAATATATATCATTCAGAGTTTGGTTATCTTTTGAGGTAATTTTGACAACTCAGAGTAGGCAGCTGCTGTCAGTTAAGTTCTGTCAAGTTTTCTGCATCCTTAACGTGAGAGAATGAGACAAATAACGAGTGTTTGTGTCAGTGTTTTATCTGTACTCGAGTGCGTGATTTGGGAGATGTTTACCGTATGCACATATTTATAGAGATTTTAAGAGTTTGTGCCTAATAACGTGTTATAGTTTTGAAGAGGGAAATGTGTTTTCTTAAAGGATATTTTTCTGACATACGAAGAGAAGACGGGAAATTCGCTGAAGCAATAATGAAACAAACTAAAAAGAAAACAACAACAAAACCTGGACTCTGCCTTGTTGTTTTTCTATGACTCTCCAGGTTAATACGTCTGAATTCTCATCTTGCTGCAAACACCGACAAAAACTTTTAGATTCGCAGTTTTGGAGTCTGGTTTGTGATTTCATGCTGATTTCTCATGGTAGTCCTGTGCATCAGTATGCATTCTATAAAATAAAAGGGTACAATGGACCTCAAATGGAGAAAATATTTTTAAAGAGGGTGTTTAGGAAAATAACACTTTTTTGTATATTTATGTAAGTATAACATAATATTTACAGTAGAGCCCGACCGATCAATCAGTCAGCCGATAATATCGAACGTCATTAGCATATCCAGTGACTATCAGCATCAGCTACTTTTGTTGCAGATATGCGCCGATATTACTTGATTTATTACACCAGTCAAAAAGCATTTTATTTGATTTTCATTGTATTACACTAGCAGTTCTCTGAGTGAGCGTGCTGTATGGATTACAACAAGCATCATCACTCTCCAGAGCGTCAAGCGATACACGTCCATGCGCAGTTAGTTTACAGTTGATTGAACATTTTGTCTTCGTTATAAATTTTTCCTGTAAGTGTTTGAAGACTTTATTTGAAGGATCATCATAATAAACATGTATATCTATATCGATATCAATATCTACAGATCAAACATAGAGAACATGGATTTTAGAAAGATATCGGCAAATATATCGGTATCTGATTTTTCCCTCCCCTATATTGATATCGGCCCTAACGATCCATATCGGTCGGGTTCTCATTTACAGTAAACAATGCATTCTGCCTACCTAGGGTGACATTACATTCCGAAAAATCATATAAGCTAAAGATAATTTTGAAAACTTACACTGATTTCTGTTACCTTGCAACCTTAAAAAAAGGTCAGAGATGTATATACATATTTCACCCCAGTGATGGTCCTGTTGAACTTTTATCAACATGGCACCAATATAATATGGTTCTAAAAAAAATATATTTCCAGCAGGGTATAATGAAAAATATTTCATAAAGTTTATGTGAACTTGTGATACAGTTTTTTTTTTTTTACCTATGATGATATATCCCTTAAACATGCAGATGTCTTTTCCCCCCATTGACTGGTATAACAAGGGAAGTCTGGGGTATTACATAGTAATCAACGCAGTGATTGGTTAATGTGATTTGTGTCTCCTGTTGGTAAAACATCACAGAGAAGATATTTAGGCCATATGGATTAGATTCTAAAAAAATAATAAAAATGACTATGTTCATTAGAAGCACTGAATTGTATTCATAATGTATCAATAATGTCCACCTGCAGTGATATATAGCTTAATCTGTGTAGTCCGGATACACATGAAGGAAACAGATGCCTATGGTCTTCACGCCTGACCTGAGTCTTACGTCTGTGTGTGTTACTGCAGCCGACTCACGGCACGTGGCTCAGGATGTGACCACAAACACTGGCACACACGCGCGTGTCTGCACGCACACGTTAACACTGTGACTCCAGAGATGTCTGCAGGGCCCGTGACGTGTGATGTCATCAGCCTGTCCTGTTAAGTTAGTGTATTAGCGTATTCACAAGTCTACAGCTCAGTGGAGCGCAGGGCAGTGAAAACTGGCCATAACCGGCCCACGCTAAATTTGCATTCCAGCCTACATCTCTCCTCCCATCTGACTCTATTATATAAAATCATGCTTACAGACATCCCCCGATCTGATGAGCATGATCGTCATTACTGTTCATCAGCAGCCAATGAAGTGATAAGATATTCTTTAGTCATTCGGTTTTGCTGCTTAACGGGATTTAAGAGAATGATATTATCTTACAACACAAGTGAGCACGTAAGCAGGGTCAAACAAATCTGGGGGCTGGTGTAAACTGTGTGCTGCTTGTGTACCACTGATACAAATCTGATGCATAATCTGTGGGTATGTGTGCAGTGGCACTGCACAGATTCTCCCATCTCTGTCCTTCTGCTCCAGTGGTTTCCCCCAGGCCAAGAGTACCCACAATGCAGTGCTTTCATGTCAGTGCATCCAGGCACCGTGAAATAATTTTCTCTTTCTGTGCCCTTTTATATCTTCTCTCTCATGTTATTGCTGCATTTTCCCCGAGATCTCCCTCTTTCGCCTTTCACCAGTTTTTCTTTCCTCTGTCCAGGTACATTTTTAGTTATTCTCTAAACACAGGCTGTCATTTGTTGACAGAAGCTGCAACAAAGATCCTCAACAGAAGTAGGTTTTTTTTTTTATATGAAGCAAAAGCTGTGCTTGAAATTTGCCCTACTTTAGGTGGAGGATGAATTGCAATATAAAACTCTACATAGTACTAGAATTGGAAAAAAACGGAGAGCGAACCTACCAGAAGACAGTATGTACATAAAAACCATTGTGTACCTTTCTGCATTAAACATTGTATCCAATTGCTATTACTAAGTGAAAGTCTTTCAATTTATATATATAACAAGAAGAAAAAATTACTACAAATGTTTGCCAATCAAGGTGCCCCAGAATAGTTTAAAGTTTACTATAGAAAAAGTATATTTCTAATGAACTTCTTAAACTGTAATATTACAATAGTTACATAACAGAAAAAAATTACCACTGAAAGGCTTCTCATGCTTCTCTTGGGAGTTGGGTGTCTTATACATGATGTTGTAACCCAACTTTCCTAAAGACAACTCCAAACAGTACAACTATATCGCTAGCCCTCCCTTCTCTAATGTCCCTTTGTCTTTTATTGAATCTCTAATTCCTTGTCTTTGTAACTAGCTGAAGGCAAACAGAACCAGGGCTGCTCTCTCCATACCCTCCATTTTGCTGACTGCACAAAGTTGCATTATATGGGCGTGACATATTTGGGCTTCTGAGTCACCAAGACGTGAGATGAGGCAGGCCACAATGAAATCCTCCAGGCCACAATATGCCTTAAATACACACAGAGTTAAAAAGGAGTTTATGAAACAAGCATCTATTAATATTTTCATGCATAGATGCCGTCTACGGTGCACTCTAGCCTTCTTCTCGGCGTTGATTCATGTAGAGGGCAAATGCGCGTATATAAAAAAAAGCAGCAGAGTCGCTGAATGTGGGCAGTGAATGTTTCAGCTCTATAAGAGGAAATTAAGCAGGGGCTGACAACTGAAGACCATGAAAACACAACCCACACTGCAGCAGCAGGAGGAGAACATTTCAAACCCTTTCAGTGCAGAAGTGTGTGAGAAAGAAGGAGCCACTTGAGTCCCCACTTACCCGCAGCTATGGGCGATTTCCTCTCATCCAGGAGCTGAATGGCAGTGCTGGCCAATACGACACTCTTGTTTTCTGATCCTAAGCCACACACATGAACGCACGAAACACACACAGACACATACAAAGAGTTCACATCACAGTCATTTCATAATTCTTTATATTAGCTCTGAACTGACTACAGGATGATGGGAGAGAGGAACACTGTGCATGAATACCACAGAGTACTATTTCATGGCTGCAGAAGCTGCCGCAGTCCAGGGAGGAAAAGTGCATCCAAGGCAAGTCCTCGGAGTAAATAAGAGGCTTTCAGATCACTTGTATTAGCTGGCACTAATGGAAAAGCCTAAGGCAGGGGGACAGATGAGAACACATTCTCCCTTTGGAGGCGGAACCATTTTTTTAGAGACATAGTTAAACTGCGATTGCTAGAGGTGCTTGTGGGTGTGTATGTGTGTGTGTGTGTGTGTGTGTGTGTGTGTGTGTGTGTGTGTGTGTCTCTTTTTCTGTGAGTGTGTTCCCGCCAAATCACTATGGAAAGGGCTGACCCTCTTCCTAAGGTATCTGATTTCAACCCACAGCAATCAGTCCTGTCCACAAGAACACAGCCCAGAATTAATAAGAGAGGAAGGAGAGGTGGAGATGTAACATGAGAAAAAAAATCATGGGTGAAAGAGGAAAAGAGAGAACGTTGTATTCATGCATTTGAAAAATTATTTTATAGCGTCTTATAGCTCTCATTTTCAATTGGTTGTCTGCTTTATTATATCTTACTAGAAATGGATACTGTGCTTATGTCAAATGAATTGGGAAGTATTAACCTTGTACAAAGTGGAAATAAAGAACTGACCTGTATTGAAAGGCAGAGAGTAGACAAAGGTTCCTGGAACTTGTTCTGCTGCTCTCTTGTACCACAGGGGAAAGTGATCGGCGTTGAACACCCCCTCTTTGTCTTCAGCTGTCAGGAAGTCTCTTGAAGCAGAGGGGAAACAGAAGAGATGAGGATACAGAGGATGTGCACACTAAATCATGGAATATGGAATGAATGGAAGAATAAACAAAGGAGCAAATAAACACATGCATTGAGCATTCTTACTGGTTCATGAGCTCATCGGGCACCACAAACAGGTTAATTCTGGACAGGCCGGTTCTTGTGCCCAGGTAGGCTATTTCCACTCCTTTATCAGAATTCCTGTAAAGAATTACAAATAATATAGTTAATGCATTTGTGCCCACATGCGACTTTGCTATAAGCGCCATTTAATTTTCAACAGAACCTTTGACAAGAGCCTTCTCTTTTTTTCAGTCTTACTTGAAATTGATCTCATTCAAATATTGGTCGCGACAAAAGCACCTGAGAAGGTATTGATTCTATCACAAGGAAACAGGTTGTGTAGTTGCTATGAACAACCGTTTTTATTAAGGCGATGGAAGAAGAGAAGAAAGGGACGTCATACTCAGATTTATTGAGCACGAGGCTCGTCCAGTAGGCCTCCAAAGGAGCAGTCACCACCGCATCAAAGAGAACTTCCTGAACCAGCTCCTTGTCACCTAACAAAGCAAACACATTTTTTTACAATGCAACACAGAAAAATGTAATGCCTTGAGTAGATAGGGGAACTTAGTGTTTGTGGGTGGGTTTAACTAACATTGTAGGTGAGGCTCGTGTCCACTGAGGTACATTTTGATTGCCTCAATCTGGGACAGGTAGCGGTGCTCTGGGTGCTCGTCTGTGTTGCAGTAAGTCCTGGAAGTAACAGAAAATAGATTGGGGACATGGGCATTGGGCATGAAGCAAAGTCAAAATTAAAATCACTGAGTTATTAGAAAATGTCAGCCTTGGTAAACACAACTCAAACTTGATCATCAAATCAAGTATCAAGTTGCTGTCAGGTACTTGAGCATCACAATTCAAGAATGATGATTACAGTAAAACAGAGAGAGTTTTCCAATTAGTAATCATGTTTGAAAAGCAGTCAGCGTTATGTGGTTAGATGTTGGTTTACTAATCCTGATAAGCACAAGTTATTAAGTGACACAAAACATCAAACAAGGTACTACAGATCTCAAAACTGTTAGATGACTTTGGTGTTTTATTATGAGTTCTGTGATCTAATATTTAGGAGATTTCTTGCAAAAAGTCAGATTACATTGTCATCTGCATAAAATATAATGATGACATTGTCACAACAGGAAAAAGAAAGCGGAAAAAGAAAGCAGGGTTGACTTTTCTCTTACCATTCGTCTGCCAGCGCTACATCAGGATGCTCCAAGTCATGGAGCCCTGTGATAAAATAAGAACAGTGTATCTGAGGCTAAACAGGCAAAAACACTCAATATGAACTCATAATAATAGGGTAAGGCATCTACACCTCAATTGCACACACGGTTGAAAAATACACACAGCAAGGTTGAAAAATGTGTTTTTTGAATGGATGTGACAGGTCTGATGAGATCAGGAAGAGCCAAGTCATGCTCAGAGGTCTCTACATGATGGACATGTTTAGAGAAACACACAGACTCAGACACACAGACCAACCGCCACATGAATATTAACATGCATGAGGCTGGACATGAAAAATAGGCACATGTTCACACAGAGGCTCACAGAGGCAGGGGCTGACATATGCACTGTCAAAAATGAATGTTTTACTAGGTTAAAGGAGTTAAAGGAGCCACTACATTTTTTTTTTTTTAACTTCAAGTCCAATTGTAAATATACATTGTTTTGAGTAATTAAAACAAAGACATGGTAAGCAACCATGCAAAATATATTGACTATTTCAAAGTTATAGCTACAACTCACTACGGATTAAATAGCTTTATGATCATCTTCCAAAGAAGAAGAATATTTGCTCATGAAAAATGTGTATGAAGCAGCTACTGCTTAACCAGCTCCAAAACCAATACGCAACATAAATCTCTTTGCATCAATATACAATCCTAAAGAGCCACTGTAATCCCAAAAAGTGAAAAAATAAAAAACAAATGACTTGTGCGCACAAGATATATATACATTTTTTTTTTTTACTGTTTTGGGCCTTGAGAGGCTCCGTACAATCCTGTAACATGATTTTAAGTTAAAAGTTTTTATTTTATCATTGTGTCATACATACAAGCCTGCGTGGGCTTACATGACACCATAAATTAAAACGTTCCAGGATCAGAGTGCATATAGGTCTATTCATTGGAACAAAAAGAGAAAACAAAAAGCAAGACAAACACTAATTAAACAGAATATCTCGTCTTCTTTTCCAAGCTTTCCAGACAAAATTAGCAAGCTTCAACACATAGAACATCCATTCCATTTTTTGCACATCAGTCCCCCCCCCCCAATATTTCAGATTTTTGACAAGCTACTTCATGAAACAACATATTTTAAATAATACAGTATATTTACAGTGAATAGCTCTGAAAAACAGCCATTCTGCATGGCAGATTTTACAAGCCATACTTCAGTATGGTAGTGTGGCTCCATGTATTTCCTGAAAATGTTAAGTTAAATGATAATGTAAAGGTATGCATGACACATATTTCAACCATCCTTTTTTTTTCTTTTATTATTTGTGTAACACTTGTTTTAGAGTCCTTCACTAAAGCTACAAAAATGAAACATGCATTCACAATTAACAAGTAAGGCACTAAAAGCTCATTAAAGACTGACGTGTTCTTCTTGAAATAAATTAACAAGCACCGACAACTTGTTATACAGTACATGGGGATTACAAGTGGCAAACTGTTTTGTCTGCAAGGATTCAGCAATTAAACTACAGGACTGCATATACCTGGAAAATGAAAAACAACATTTTATAATTAAATAAAAATGGTCCTGTCTATGATTGGTCTAACAAGTACATTATGCAAGTAATACCAATGTGTTGTTATCGTATCTTAAAACCATGACTTTTAATGCATTTATTAAATGATGTTTATGTTGTAATAGATTGCTATTTCTTTAGTTACTTACTTATTGAGTGAGACAAAAAAAAAAACAATGAACGAGTTAATGTGAGTACAGCAGAGAAAGAAAAGGGAGGATCTCTTACCTTCCTCCACTGTGACATTCCCTCTGAAGAAAAACTTCCCATGGCCTCTGGAAAGAGCTACCCCTAGACTAAAATAAGACAAATCCATTTCAACCAGTGCCTTGCTGTGCAAAGAAAACTGGAACTATTAACGCAGCAGTGGTTCTAAACTTTGTCCACTATGTACGGGGAATGTCTCCAGCTCTCTTACCTGAAAGGAGTCCCCTGGATGTCTGTGTAGTAGTAATCATTATGCAAGACCAGAACACGTTTCTGAAATAAAGGAGATTAATGCCTTCCATTATATGCTACAGTAAACAGCAGGCAGTGTGACAGCAGTTATCTGATGGGATTTCCTGCACTCTGGCTCCATCTAGTGGTGAAAAGAGTTTCTGCTGTGGTTGGTGCTCTGTCGCTGTGATTCTGCAGATGGAGGTGTTTTCACAGCATGTGAGTGTTTGGATAAGGATTGTGAATATGCATGTGTGTCTACATTTGAGTGTACTCCACTGTGTGTCTGCAGATGTGCATTTACATATTGAATGCTTAATAATCAGGGTTATGTAAAATGCTCTTTACTAGGAATTGAAAATGCAAAGTGCACACACACCTGAATCTCGCCCCCCCCCCTTCCCTGCCTCTCTCTCTCTCTCTCTCTCTCTCTTTCTGTTAGATAGGCAAGTAGTAAAAGAGAATCATTGGGCCGCTGTCTCTCTCCCGTATTCAGCAACATGTGCTCAGTAGAGATAAGGGGCTCACACACAGAGAGACAGACAGACAGACACACACCCATGCATGCAGAGCAAACAAAATCTGAAAACAAAATCCCCAAGTCAATCCTGTAACATCACTGTGCCAAGTGTAACAACCCCTGGCAGAGTGGATTCACCCCGCTGACTGTTTTCTCTGGCACATCCTTTGGGACCTTCAGAAAAGTTCTTGTTTTTTTACGTGTTTATGTGTTTCTGATATTTTGGATTCCTCACCCCTTTATCAACACTCTTTTTCACCTCCATGGAGAAGGTCCCTGTCTTCCTGTTGACCATGGCATTTCTCAGCTAGAAGCACAAATCACACAGCAAATCTCCAGCATCAGATTTATAATGGAGACTGGTACACTGTTGATGCTTAATGTCGATTAATTAAAAGGATCCTACTGCGTCTTCCTTGTCCTCCCATTCCACCTCGGAAAGATCCACACTGCTGTAGTTTGGCTTCCTTCGCTTCTTGCCATCTCCATACTGCACACACAAACACATGTAAATACACACACATGCTCAGATAAAATATAAAGAAAACACTGCACTGTACAGCTGTTATCTGTTTGCACTGCCAAGTTATCATCATTTTCTAAATTACTAAATAAATGTGAAAAATTTATTTACAGGTTCCCCTAGCCCAGTGAGACATTCTCACTTTGTTTTTTGTGTTCACATAACAGCAAGATTTATTAAACAATAACGTACACCATAGTGTTTGAAGCTGAAAGCAGCAACTAAATGACAAATGATTAAGTGTTATAAAGGCCAAGATAGGTTGAGGTGTCTCTTTTGGATTGGCATGTTTCTTCTCACCTATCTCTTGGCTTGAAATGGAACGTGTACATATCAAACCTTCAATTAGTCATTTGGCTACTCATTGGTGTAAGTGTTTTTTATACAGATAAGGAAAAAGATCTGAAGAATAATTGCAATCTAATTTTGTTTTAGTTGAGTTGACTAAACTTCAACGTATGTCCTTGCGGTTCACCTCCCACCAGATATCTGAAAAATCCTATTTGATGTGGACGTTGTATTACCAGAGCTTTATTGAAACAGCTCTCCTCAAGATAACTAACGACCTTCTCCTCTCCTTTGATGCCAGAAACCTCAACATCCTCATCCTACTGAACCTAAGCGCAGCATTTGACACCATCAACCATTCCATCCTTCTCTCCCGCCTTGAAACCACATTCAACATCACCGGCACTGCTCTCTCCTGGCTCAAATCATACCTCTCTGACAGATACCAGTTCATAAACATTAACCACTGCAAATCCCCCACTGCTCCTCTCTCCCAAGGTGTTCCCCAAGGTTCAGTTCTCGGACACCTCCTCTTCATCATGTACATGCTCCCCCTTGGTCACATCATCCACTGCCATGGACTCCAGTTCCACTGCTTTGCCGACGACATCCAGCTCCACATCGCCACCAAAGTCGTCACTCCTGCCACTCACTCAATCCTCACTGACTGCATCACAGAAATAAAATCCTGGCTCCAAACCAACTTTCTCAAACTCAACATCAGAAGTCATCATCATAGGCCCCAAATCCCTCATCATATCCACCAACAACTTCTCCCTCACCATCGATGGCTCCACAGTGCTCCCTTTCCCCCCACATCCGTAACCTTGGTGTCATCTTCGACCAAACCCTCTCCTACGACAAACACATCAAACACATCACCACAACAGCCTTTTTCCACCTCAGAAACATCGCCCGCCTCCGCCCATCCCTCTCATTTTCAGCTGCCAAGACACTCACCCACGCATTCATCACCTCCAGATTAGACTGCTGCAACAGTCTCCTCTACGGATCACCATCACATTCACTCAAGAAGCTCCAATACATCCAGAACTCCGCTGCTCGTCTCCTCACACACTCCCGCACCCGAGATCACATCACCCCCGTTCTTCATGACCTCCACTGGCTCTCCATCCCCCAGCGTATCAACTTCAATCTCCTCATCCTCACCTACAAAGCCCTTCACAACCTGGCTCCCCCCTACCTGTCTGAGCTCCTCCACCGGCATACTCCCACCCGCACTCTCAGGTCTGCGGATGCAAACCCCCCCCCGCAGAACAAACTATCGTTCCTGGGGGGACAGGGCCTTCTCCATTGCAGCTCCCACCCTCTGGAACTCACTCCCAAAAAAACTCCCCACACTCACTTCCTTCAAGAACTCCCTCAAAACTCACCTCTTCATCTCTGCCTACAACCACTAACTCCCCTCCCCCCCTACATTACTTCTTCGTCGTTTTTTGTTTTGTTTTATTGTTTTATGTTTTTGTCAAAGCTTCTTTGAGTTTTCAGAAAAGCGCTATATAAAACCAATGTATTATGGTTCCCGATTCAGACTGCTGTTTCAAGCAGCGAATACTTACGACCACAATCGGAATGTTGTGGGAGTGTGCTGGTGGAGCAGCTCAGACAGGTAGGGGGGAGCAAGCCAAAAGCCTAAACGTAATGTGTTTAGAGACTGGGTCACCAATCTTACGCCGTCGTTGAATCAATATGAAAGTATTTCATAATAAAGCAGTCTGTGTGTTTGTATTTAAAATGTATGCGTGTACTTGTGAGTACTCCCTCTTCATTCATCTCTCAAAAAGGACAGCACCCCCCCACCCCTCATTAGTTGTTAAGCACTGTTCATTAACATCTTTAATTAGCCCACTATTAAACCATCTGTCTGTCTGTTCTCTCTTCTTTTCCCTGTCTGCTCTCCTCTCTTCTCTTCTCATCTCTCCATCTCTTTCTGTTTCCCTCCAGTGTTGCAACCTGCTTTGTCACCCTGCACCTTTTACTACCGTTAAGCAGGTTCCCCACTCTCCCTCCCTCCCCATCCTCCCTCTCCCCGACCCCTCTCTCCCCTCATCCTCTTGTGAGAGGAGTGAGTGAGTACAATGGAGTTAATCACAGCCATTCAGTAGTGTATCTCTGTCTATTCACAGCACAGCAGAAGCCTGGAACACACTCCTCTCATCTACATACCACCTTGCAGCCGAACACGCGCACACCGCATGGCACACAGAGCACCAACACACCAATTTTCCATGTCAATCAGCCTCTCAATGTGACGGGAAATCAGTAATTGTCTTGACATGAACTCAAATGTTAGTATTCCTCAGTCGCTTGTGCAAAGTAAATGAATACATTTGAACTTCTGTCTCCGAATTGTTATGATAATTAGGTTCAGTTAACTTGTTATAGAGAGTGAAAGGTGCAGCAGGTATTACTCACAAGTGGCCGTAGATCTGGATGGGTGAGGATGTAGCCGTTGTTAGTGATTGCAAAGGCATAGCCGTGAATACCCAGCTAGAATGACACACGCACACACGCACACACACACACACACACAGAATGAATGCATGTTAAATCTTTGCCTAATTGCTAGTCTGGTATAATCAAGCTCTTTTCATTTCCACTGGACAAATCTAAATCTTTGTGTGAAAACTGACAGACATTGTGATACAAGAGGATGACAGTATTCATCCTATTCCAACACTTTAAATGTCAAAACATTACACTGAACCAAGACTCAGGTTTACATGTGAAAGAAATCAGCACAGGGGACGTGCTGAGGATGCTATCAGGATACAATAGTACTGGTAGTGAATCATTTTCCTGTCATCGCTGGAATCGAGGAGCAGACATGAATAATCAATCAACAAAACGTCAACATACCTGTTTCATTCCCTACCAGGTTTGTCATTTAATCACTACACTAAGGAGTCTGAATAGCTTAACCACAGATACATGTTTTTCTATTAAATCTCACTTGCCTAAGATTTTCACTGAATCAGCATTCCAGCATTCAAATTCCAATCGAAATGATTTGAAGGATATTGGTTTTGCTTATTAAGGTGTTATTCTATATTCTATTGAAATCCATTCAATCTTTAGTAGATGTATCTTAATGATGTTGGAGTGGTACCTTATATTTGGGGATGGTCTTGAGCAACTCGGAGACTGGCACATCCGTCCCAACAACTCCCAAGAGGATGCCTCGATTTCTCTGTAAATTGCAAGTTGCATTCGCAATGTTATGTACATAACTCAAGAAATGTCACTGCATAAATATGCTTCCAATTAGTGATGCTTGGCTGTATCCTATTTTACAGACGCAAATTAAACTGAAATTAGTGTCCTCAAGTACAAAAATAAATGATTTAACATTATTTATTAATTTGTGTCTCTTTTCTCGTACCCTAAGACCTTGTGAGTCAAGCAATTGCACAGATTTTTAATTAAAACTGCACATTTGTTGGAGAAAAAACAATTTGTGGAAACACAACTGGCAGTAAAAGTTATGAGTTTGAAAGCATCGTAAGTGCACTTACAGTCTCGTTCTTGGTGCTGAATACCGGCATGGCCACTGTGGTCATTAAAACCGGACCTTGACCATCATCCATCTGATTGAGTCATGAGAGAAAATCAGTGAAAGAAAGCAGTTTAGAGGGAAAGAAAGAAAGACAGAGAGAGAGAGAGAGAGAGGGGGAAGAAGAGGGAAGCCAATGATGAAACATTATATAAAAGAAATGTAACTGCACACCACATTGCATGGCGTCATGCACATTAAATGAATCATCTTGCTTAGTGACAGTCAGCGAGAGAGCATCTCGAGCTGCACAACACTCGTTCCTTAAGTAAAGAATCTAAAAGGAATCCTGCAGCAGATCTAGTCATATTAACTTCTCGAGGGAGCCTCTAAACTTCCATGACATGTTTTATTCATGTTTATTATTTGCCTTAAAATGTCTTCAATCACAGGCAGCCTTTGATGTCTTGCAGAATAAGCTTATCCAAAGGCAGCGCTTCTAGTCTGAGTCGGGGTATCTACCCTCCCTTAAGACTGCTGGAATAATTATGATATTTATCTTTCCAGCGCCTGTCTGTATCTGACGATGATCCATTAGAGATGAAAGCTAGACATAGTTAGGAAGATACTGAAGTGAGACATAGCACTCAGCATATCAAAGGGGGCTGACCTTGTCCACTCACAATGTCTAAATGTCAGTCAATTATGCAGTTGATGTTCAAGATGTTTAAAGTAGATGTTGCATTAAGTGCAACATGAAGAATCACAGGAGCAAATCTGCAAGTTTCTTAAATCAGATGCAGAAAACTCAAACCATGTCAAATATGATCTGTTTTTCTGTTGCAGCAATCAATACAATTTGCTCTATTGACTTCAAATAGTATTCTACTTCCTCCCCTCCTCGGCCCTCTCCTTTCCTCTAGTAATAATAGGTAATGACAGGAAGCCACTCGCATCCCTTCTGTCTCCCTCACTCACTGAAAAAAAAAGAGTAATGGGTGACCTGTGCACAGACAGCTGGTAATAGCAATTCAGGACGTAGTATTAGACATCAAAGAGAGAACAAAGCACATATAAGTAGAGCTGGTGTTACAATGTGCTGCGGGAGAACAGGATCGATCAAAGGACAGGGAAAAAGGAGCAGAGGCTCCTCTTGAAATAATAAATCTATTTCCAGGCTTGCGTGTATTTGATCATACATCAACAGTGTGTAAATATGGGGGCTAATATTTACTGTCATGAACTGTTGTTGGCAGGGTCAATAAAATGTGCATTCTTTGAACTTCACCAATAATGTCATTTCTGTATGAATATTTTCTGTAAACAAATGTCTGTTTATTTATGCCTTTACACGGGTTGTCCATGGTAGGGCATGAGTTTGCATGGGCCCCCCAGAGATTAGATTCACATTTCCAGGTGCCTCGCCAAAAATGCTTCTCCACTGGGTTATTTGCCGTGTAAGAGGTGGAACTTTTGTTTTTCAACTATTTTTGTGGCCTGTGTTGCAACGGCTGCTAGCAATCGTAGCATTACGGTAAAGCTTATTTTCTGTTGTTGGCACTTTCAACTGTAACTTTTGGAGAGGAATGTTATTTTAAAGGCCTTAGATAATTAAGTTCGGATGGAACATATATGTTTAAAAAACAACCAAAACCCAGATAGATACCCCGACCTTTGGTACATATTTTGTATTATGTATTTTTTTTAGATTTTCATCTTTACAGTGCATTTTACCCTAAGTGGAGTTCTAGCTATTCTACTATTTTATTCCTCTACTATGTTTATGATTTTTGCACTTCAACACCAAAACAAAGGCACTTAACCTGATTCTGAACAAGTCTGAAATGCCCCTGGTTTGGTAGAATTCAGGCTTGACCAGCTGCACTGAGATATAACATACTGTAATTAAGCCGATAACAGGAGCTGTATGGAGAAATGCAGCTGGCAACTGCATGAGGTGTATTCAAAGCAAAGAGGGAAAAAAAATTGAACCCAAAGTGAGTTTCCTTCAGCATGACCATGCCCCGAATCCCTGAAGGAGTGCTCTGTAACTAGACTTTGACATATACATAACCTGCAACCTCTAATCCAAGGTCAGAACTTTTTACACATTTGGGCCAAATCTGCAACATCATTGCCTCTGTAGCTGCATCAGTCATTGCTAATGGGCCGTAAAAGTCCTTTATCCTGCTGTGGGTCAGAGAATACAGAAAGAACCCCTCTGGACCTGAATACACTCGCGCCCCTCTGACACAAACACACACAAACACGCACACACACACACACACACACACACACACACACACACCCCTGCCTTGTGTTTTGTGCCTCGTAGGACACCTTCTAATCTAGGTTGCAGTGACAAATTGGGTTCCTGTGGACAGGGTGACCCTTGTTTCTTTGGAGACTGGGTTTTAGTGGTGAAGGTGTGTGTAAGCTGGGAGCCAAAGAGCACAGTGGGCTCCTGTGGGAAAATGAACACGAAACCAAACATGAAGAGGAGATGGCACTGAATCTGGCATCATTTTTTTTAAATGCAAAGGGGTTTTGGGACACGTTTAAAAGCTCCCAATAACCTCAATCAATGTTAGCAAAACTTCTTTAAACTGTGGTGTTTATGTTTGGCTGATAGAACTTTTTGAGGAGCTTACGATTTGAATTTGTCACCTAAAATTGCTCTCAGCGTTCCTCTTTTCTGTCATCACGCTGAACCAACTATCAGTCTTTTTCTTTGAACTTCCATACAAAAACCTTCTCTCAAAATTGCATACTTCTTTACACTGTCTTCCAAACTATGGCTTGATACCCTTTCTCTCTCTTTCCCTACACTTGCCCTCAAATGCCACCCCCCACCCCCCACTTCCCTGATCTCCCGTGTCAGTTCATCCGACAGAGTGGGAAACAAAGCCAAATGAGCCAGAGAATGATGGATGAAGCTGGTGAGAGGGAGAGGGGAAGGGGAGAGGGAGGGGAGCAGGAGAGGAGGGAAGGAGACAGGTAGGGGGTGGTGGCTGAAGAAGGAGAAGGAGACAGTGAAAAAGAGGAAGAGAGAGGAGATATGCAGGGATAGAAAAAATATCGGAAAGGGATGGAGAGCAACGGGAACAGATAGGATGAAGGGCACATCTGGAAGATGATACACATCAGCCCTGGAACATAAATAACGGATGCTCATCACTTTCTGAACACTGAGCCAATCCCGGGAGTTTTACTAAGTTCTTATCAGACACCATCACCATGCAGAAAGTGTCTGGTATGTGTGTGTCTTTCTGTCAGTGTCTGTCTCACTATCCGAGCACCCAGACCGGAGCTGCACTGACTGATTACATGCAGAGGAGCAGGGCAGATTCCTTGCCAATCCCAATTATTAAGTCTGACAATATCATATCTATTTCTGTTTTCTGCTTAGCTGCTCCGATGTCAATAAGCTCTGGAGTATCACACCACCAGTATGATGTCAGACATATGGCCTGCCAGCTGTCTAATAGGACTGCCCATTCTAATGGAGGGGGGGGGGGGGGACTCTTCTGTTCGACCATCATCATTATTATCAAAGAGCGGCTTATCTCAAACCACACATGATGCACAAAACAGTGGAAAATAAACGCTGAAAACGATAAAAAGGCATCAGAACAGATCATCCTGCCAGTCATTACAGGCTATTGGATTTTCACCCAAAAGATAACAAACAGCTTATTCTCCAGATTTCTACCACAACAAATAACACAAAGCAATCTTGTTTTTCACACCAAAAATCACACAGGCGAAAGAGCAGAAATGTAGCCTCACACTTAAACAAATGGTTACACTGCCAGCACCGGAGATACTGGCAAAGCACGGCTGACACAGCATCACTAATGATCAATGAGAACACAGTTGTGTGCGTGTGTTTGAGAAGACGTGCAGAAGAGAGAGCAATCAGCTGATCCGATGACCACCACGATGCATGATTTTGAATCAGGAAGTTGTTCAGCAACATACGACACCGACACACAAAAAAAATGCCATGGGTCAGTATGGTGGTTAGTTCGCCCAAAAAATGTGTTGTCATCCTGCAGACATCAGAGACCACATGCACATGAAATGCACAAGAACACAACACCAGGCCTGGACACAGCACAATACAGCAGTGACCTCGGATCAGATTTTCTTTTACCTTTTGTGCTTGTGGGAGCTAAAGAGAGCAGATTAAAGAGGAGGGGAGGAGAGAAAGGGTCAATATGTCTGTGGATAGAAGTCTGCAAAAAGTCTTTCCATGCAGTTTCCACTTTGCGAGCACCGGTGGGCGCGTAAAAATCCACTGACATTGACTTTGACTGCGACTTTAAAAAAAGAGTGCCAGTGTCAAGAGAGGAGGACTTTATGGCTGGGAGGGTCACAAGCAGAGGAAACAACACTTAAGCTGTTATTATTGAGTCAGTGTTCGCTGAATGTTCTCTGGCTGTGGTAAATGGAGAAAGATAATGAGGGCAAAGAAAAAGAAAATAAGCAGAGGAAGACAGCAGAAGGTAAACCATGGGAGAAACGAATGGGAGTCCTCTATGCTGCAGTGTTTATAGCCTACATTCTTCTGCTCTTTTTGTCGTTGTCTCCTTAAATTTTTAGGAAACCTCTTGCTCCTTTTCACTTCAGAAATAGTGGCGGAAAATTGGCTAAAGTTCACTCTTTATAGTCATCAGTGTGCCTGTGTGAATACTTCAGTTTGTTGTTTATTTTATAGACAGCAGAGGAATCTAGGTAAGGCATTATGGTGTCCCAGCAAGGAAACAAAAGCCTAGGCATGTACAATACAAGGGGGTTACGTTTTGAATATGAATAATTAATAATAATGATTTATTTATTGGTTTATTTGACATGGACATACAGTAACATTGGTGCTGTAACATTTAACCATGCACAAGTCCCAGATGCACTGCTTTTTAGTGATTTTAGCAAAATGCTAATTAGCAACACTTTTTAGATAACAATATATATTATAGCCAAATGAATCACACACATGGCCTTATTCACTGCCATTCTAAGGTAGGTGTATCTCTGTGCGTTTGGCCAGGGTGTGAGGTTGTGGTGTTAGTGACTAACTCACAAGTGATGTTCTACTAAAGCTACGCAGCTTCTAAACACACACAGGAGGCTCATTCATTTAATGGTTTCATCTGCTGCAGACGCACACTGTCACACATTCAGATGTAGAGAGGCAGAACACATTGTCATGCCTCTGCTATCACTGCATTGCTATTCTTCTTCGTTAGGTTGGCTTGTGGATATGTGAATGTTCTTCTTGAATAAAAGCTGATATATTGTGCATTTTGGATGAAGTTTTCTTAGTGGAGGAGATACAAAGTGCAATGGATGGTCTACTTACAGTGTTATCGATGTAGGCCTCAGTCCACACCGTGTCATGCTCCTGGTCGATCACCTTCGGACGACTCAGCACGTGGAGATACTCCATCACATTCTCCTGCACATCTGCCAATGTGGAAATCTGAGTGAAGTAGCCTGTTGGACGGAGCGAGGGGGAAAGAAAGAAGATGAATCATAAGACTTCAATCAAGCAATCAAACAATGGAGAAAGAACAGGTTGAGTCGCCCGTGCTGCTTCCCAGAAACCTAGACAAGAAGTACACTAAGTGAGTAAGTGAGTCTCAAAAACGGCTTCACAGAGCAGCAAATGTCATGTTCAATATCAGCTGGGCTATATAATCTTTTCCAAGCCATCAATTCCATTTCATATACCTTGGTACTAAAGCAGAGGAAATACATTTGGAATACAGTACAGTAGGCAGCGGATATTTGCTTGATGAAGCAGATGGAAATCTAGAGTCATGTCTGAGTAATAGCTTAAGAATTCCCTGCAGTGATATACAAGTGAGAGCAAAGCAGCATGGGTTTATGAATGGGTAAGTGGTATGTAAATATAACGAGGGAAAAAAAGAGATCTCAGTTAAACCAAATGTGTTGCCATTTCCTAGGATGGTAATGCCACCATTATGATGCTAATGTGCATGTGCAGGGGGGATATACTGTTATCTCAGCAGGGGGACAGAGGAAGGAGGAGACGAGGAGAGGGAATAAGGACAAACGAGAGAGAGAGAGAGAGAGAGAGAGTGAATAAATGACACAGAGGATAAGGGGAAAAAGACAGAGACCAACACATTTCCAGCCAACCGTAAAACACCAAACTGCCTCCATCACCGTGAGGCAGTCAAGGAGAAAATCATAGCTAGAGGAAACAGATTTCGGGGTCATCGTTCCCAGCAACGACCTTTACTCCACAGGGAGACAAGAGACTAGACACAATCCACAGATCAATGAGGGATGCCAAGTATCCCCCAAAGATAGGCTCTATTGCAGATAATCTAGTTTAAAGACGAAAAAAGTGAAAATAAAAGAATTTAAAAAAGGATCAATCTAATATTTTACAGACAGAAAGTATTAAAAATACACGTTCGCACCAAGAAAGCACTTGCCCCTGAACGTCGACCTGGAAGTGAACCTTGACAGATTCCCTTCTTTTCATCCTCAAGAGACATTCAGGTCTGGCTATTATTCCAGCAGACAGGTACAATGACAACACACACATACAAACTGGTTTCACACACAGAAAGCGAGCTGCCTCAGTCTAACGGCATCGTTCATCACACTGCGAGTGAAGAATGATTCTCCCTCTGGAGAGCTGAGGGCGTCCTTCGGGCTGAGCCACTGGGGAGCCAGTGAGAAAAAAAAAGCCTCTTGTGTTCAGTGACACTGTTCTTCTGTCATCCATACAGGATGGGATCGCCATGACATGGTCTGCTCAGGATGAGGGCATTCATATATTTCTGAAGGACCTTGGTTTGGGTGATATGTAAGAAAAAAAAGAAGAAAGTTTTAAGGTGTCCTACAACTTGAAAATTATGGATGATGTGGAGGTAAAAAAAAAAATAGGTAGAGTTGTATAACAAGCATGTGGACATCCTTATATGTGCCCATTCAGAACCAGGGGCATAGAAGAGGAGCCCTACATTGATTCAACAAGTTGTTTGACATATTAATCAGGGCGCGGTCACACCGATTGGCCCCCCGCTGCACCATTCCCAAGCTGGCCGGTCACACTACACAGGACTATCCGTGTTTAAGCACGATTGACTCTTGTACATAACGTTGTAATACAAGTTGTACATGTTATTATGAAGCGTGCTCAGGTTACAAACAGGTGGACTCGAGGGAGAGAGAGAGAGAGAGAGAGAGAGAGAGAGAGAGAGAGATAGAGAGAGAGAGAGAGAAAAAGGGACGCGCAGTCGAGTCCACGTCTGCACATCGGAGAACAACACAGAGAGCATGACAGCTACTTTACTGACTATGCGGCTTAATTTAAGCCATTTTTTTCAGACACAGCCATAAATAAATTAAAAAATAAAATAGACGCACGGCCGAGTCCGCGGCCGCACATCGGAGAACAACACAGAGAACATGACAGCTACTTTGTGGCTTATATTGTGTCATTTTAGTCAGATACAGACATGAAACTCTGGATTTCTCCATAATGAAGGCTGTCAGCGTTGTGTACCCGCCTGCTTGTGCTCGTGCATGAAGTGTACCGTGCCGAAGTGTGCCAAAGCCAAGAAAGTATACCGTACCTGACAACGGCACGGAGCGGTCACACAGGCCAAATGAACTGGATTTTAACGTTGAAGCGTGCTTGGGCACCGTATGGATGGCCAGTGTGACCGCGCCCTTAGAGATCTTTGTTGGTTTGATGGCTTCAGATTCAATCCAAAGGCAGCTTTAATCGATGGAGATCTGGTGACTGACAAGGTTGTTCGAGAATAATAAACTAAATTCCTGTTCAAAAACTAGTCTGAGATGCTGTGTATCTCGTGGCATGGTGGCCCTTGCCTGCTGAAAGTAGTTATGCGTCTATTACACTGTGTTCATTAATAGGAGTGACGCAGTCAGGCTACCCAATACTCAGGTAGGCTGTGGTGATTGAACAGTTGTACTAAGTCCCAAGTTGTGCAAGGAAACATCCCTCACATCACCATTACAGCACCATTACTGTTGATGGAGAAGGTCTACATGTCTAAATGCTGCCACATACAGTAATTGGATGATAGGATATTTGTGGGGAAGAGACTAGCTTTTATGTTAGCTTGAACCTGAGAGATAAGTTAAGCCTCTTAATATTATTAGTCAACTTCAGCCACAAAGTATGAACCCTTTATCTTAATTCTCATGTAGCATTATCATTTATTTGAACTAAAGGACATCATAATAAGAACATGGTCTGGACCTGAAGATGAGAACTGTATTGGGGTCCCCATTATTTTGTCCATATTGTTTGTGTTAAATACGTTTGATATATGATATTTTATGGACATGGAAAAATGTACTTATCAACACAGAAAAACATTCTTCTTTGACTTTAACATAATGTCATTTGGTATAGTCCTGTGGAGCAAGTTACACCTGAGTAAGTCCTGTGGAGCCGTAGAAGGGGAAGAAGACAGAAGGGTCAAGTGCAGCTGAAGGCTCAACTCTTTGTCAAAGATGTAATGTACAATAATTGATGACCCTCATTCCTGTGGTATTGTATGGTGTTTCATCTTCTGTCTGCTTCTCTGTGCTATCCCAAATGAACCGAAATCAACTGTGCTCATTGCTCAGTTGTTAAAAGAAGAAGAGAGGATCAGAGAGGACCTGACCGAGTTGGCACAGACACCGAGTCTGCTGAGCAACACTGTCAGAAACAACTGAAAGCAAGTTAAGCTCATCGGGACTCCAATAAGGGTCTGCATCATTCTACATGTGACCTATAAGTGGCTCGTACAGCTATAAGGCTCAAGAGGTATAACAATCGTCTAGACCTTCAAGTACTACTTGTTCTGTGTCAATTTTTGAAGAATTTGAACAAAGCAGCCTTCAGTGTTAGGACAAACAGGGTAGCACTATTTAATCAGAGTCTACTTTTCAACCGAAAAAAAAAAAGACATAATGCCAAATCTTCTGCTGGTCTGGAGTGGAGGATTTGTGCCAGGGGAGTAGAAAGAAGACTCTTCTGCTCATCTCCTGCAGGCTGACAGAGGATGTCACTGTCATAAACCTGAATCATCTTGTGGCATACAAACACACACTTGTGTAGCGCGACACACATAGAAACACACTAAAAGCTCTCATCAATGCCACTAACACCATCAAACTGACTGGATGGTTCTCTAATATCACTTCCAAGCAACACTGTGGGTGCCCTTCCACTCTTATCTACACACATATGGACTCTCACACAACTAAAAAAAAAACACACGCACACCCCAAGTGTGACCTACGACTTGCCTGTCTTATCTACGGCAGTCTGAGGAAATGGAGCCAGACTGTCTCTGTCACCCACCTCCCAGCTAAATATAGAACCTGAAGAAAAAAGCTCCACTCACAGAGACAACCATGTCCACACATAAAGCAGCTGGAAAGTGGTGTATCACCAAGATAATTTGGACTTCATACAGACTAACATATAATGTGACATATCTTGTCATTGCAAACACATGCTAAATCTGATGCGTACTTAAAAACACATGTTTGTGCAACTTCATGTACACATACCAAGACAAATAGAGTTAATAATGTATTCATTTTCCTTGTCTGTCTCTCAGCAGGATGCAGAAACTTTCTCTGCAAAAAAACAGATAATGTGGAGAAAAAAAGTGGCGTATGAATGTGTAGTCGGATCCCACCTTTGTTAGCACACGCCATCCATTTCAGATTATCTGCGAAGGCGGACTCTCGGCCAATGAGGTAAGGGAAGATGCGAACCTGCGGAGAGAGAGCAGATAGCTTCCGTCAGTCATTTTAATCACATTTGGATAGGGTCCACCACACCACCATGAAGATAACACTGTGAAAGGCAGGCAGAGGGCTCATTCTTTATCTGACACTGATTAGCCAGCCCTTTCTCCTCGTTAAATAGAGTCCATTATGGACTCATAAAAGTCTTGAACTTGTTTTTTAAGACTTCATTTAAAGTTTACGTCATTCAAATCATCTTTGAATGATCATCAACGACAAAGTTGAGAATTAACAGAAATGGGTTTTCTCAAAAAAACGTATGTTTATCAAGAATCTGCAATTAGAATGAAAAACAAATGATAAACCATGGCATCAATATTTTGAGTTGAAAAATGCTCAATCATAGCTGTTATGGGCTCATTCCAGAGAATCTTCTAAACTCTCTGCTGCCAAACCCATTTTTACCCGGCAGTGCTTAGTTGGCTCCAGCAGCAGGTGTAGTTGGCAGGTGTGTGTGTGTGTGTGTGTGCGTGCGTGTGTGTGTGTGTGTACATGTATGTGTGAGAAGTGGGTTGCCAGATTGGACCAGATGCTAGCCTTTGGGGGCACAGCTGCCGTGGCTCCCATGCCTGCATTTTTCACTGTCTCCCTACATCACCCTGACAGCATATGTGTGTGTGTGTGTGTGTGTGTGTGTGTGTGTGTGTGTGTGTGTGTGTACTGTATGTGTAAACATGCCTATTTGTGGGCCTTCATGATTTTTTTTTATGGATTTTTGACGACTTATCTTATCTCTATTTAATGATATATTTTCTTGTCATTAGTGCAGTGTGTCATAGAGGACCACCCTTTTTATTGATTATAACAGCCTTAGCCATCAAAGATACAAAACAGAGACAGTTAATTCGAGGCTCTTATTTTCTATCGTGGGTATTTTTCTATCTTTTGTCAGCTGTAATTAGTTTCACTATGGATAAGTAGAGTTGTCAGACTGTCATTTTTAAACAGTCCTTGTTACCTATAGACAATAATCACCATCAAGTCAATGAAACCTTAGCCATTTGAATGACATTGTGAAAAGTGGGGTATTCTATTTGTAGTTGTGTTTTCCCTCACTGGTGGCAGAGAGAAACTCCAGCAGGCTGCCTATTAAATATAGAAGAGGTTTACAGCTGAGTTAAGTGCAGTGAAGATAAAAAGGCCCAGCATGCAATCTCTAACCTACTTCACTGCACAAATTTTACATAACCAGGAATAAAAGAACACATACATACAAGGATAAACTGCACAGACATGTCAGTGAACACATCTGTATGTTTTCAGGCACACTCAGACACTTACATATAAGAGCATCCCATGTGCTCAGGCTGGTTTCAGACTAATGCAAACACTGTATTATAACATGAATAGGGAAACGTGTTCACACTCCTACATAATGAATTTAGCACTTAACTCAGTGATTGCATTCTCCAATATAAACATTAACACAAACATTTAAAGCTGCCCTGTAAGGCTACATGTGTTTTAATGTTTAGGGCTCATGTTTACAACTTCCACGGTGGTGATAGCACACTAATTGTTCTCATGTTCTCATTCAATATGCAGCATCATACAGATCAGGCAGGCATACTGCTGGTTATAAAAGGGTTAGAAAAAGAGGTTTCAACCCAAAACCAAAACCAAATAGTTTGAAGGATTTATTCTTAAATGTGATTTTGTTGTATACGTTGTGTATGGGGATGAATAAACACTTTTTGATGACAATGATGATTGTTTCTGTTTGAGTTATAGTCAAGTATACTTTTATTTGGAAAATGAAATTTGTATAATATAGATCATTCTCTTTATTTTATTTTAATTTTGTGGCTTTTTATGCCTTTATTTAGAGATAGGACAGTGGGTAGAGTCAGAATCCAGGAAGGGGGGGGGCATGTGGTAGGAGCCACTGGACAGATTCAAACCAGGGCCGCCCGATTGAAAGACTATTACATGGGGTTTGCGGACTAACTACTAAGCACTAAGCTACTAAGCTACTGGCGCCCCTTAAATGTCACTCTTTAAGATTTTTTTTTTTGATTTTTTTTTTTTGGGGGGGGGGACTTTTTGCCTTTATTTGCACGGACAGTATGAAAATGGGAGACAGGGGGAGTGACATGTGGGAGAGGAGCCACAGGTCGGACACTTGAACCTAGCACTCCTGCTTGAAGGGCTATAGCCCACACATACATGGTGTGCTGGAATTGGGGAATTGACCTTTTCTAATCACTTTCTTATCTGAAAATGAATCTTTTTTTGTTTGTTTCCGAGACGTGTTTCGGAATGTGGGCCGAGTGCCATTTGAAGAAATTGTGTCTGCGATTATTGACAGAGTTCCTGGTTGAACTGAGTCTAACTCTGAGGAGGCAGATCTAACAATTCATGTTGGGATCAAAGGCAGGATCAACCATGTTAAGTCAAAATCAGTTTTTTTGGCTAAACTCAGATGGTTTCCAGTCCAATTTGAGAAATTCTGGAGAACACAAAGATGAAATGTGATTTTTGAAAATCCACATTTGAAGATTGTTGGAAATATGAATCCAATCAGATTTCGAGTAAAGCGTCTCAGCTCTAATCTCACTGCTTAAACTGTGCCTCTCATTTCAGGAAAGGCTCTAGTCATCTGTAAAGGCTTCAGTGATGCATAGTCTCCTATTTCTACAAGCGGTGAAGGTTAGTCTTTTGCTTTTGAGAAAACAGAAACATTGTTTGCAAATAACAACAATTGGTCCTAATGATGTAAAGTGTACCAGCATGCATGTGTAAGGTTGTATGTAGGGCTGCATATCTCCTACAGTTTAGAGGAGAACATGTAGCCCCTTACATTTTTTCTAAACCTTTGGCTTCAAGGTTAGCCAGGCTGACAAGGACAAACAGAAAACAACATCTTTCATCAGCTCCCTGGGTTCGCTAACTTCCTCCTGTCTTTGCCAGATGGACTAAAATCCAGATTGTTGGCAAACTACAAGCTCGATTATCAGTGCTGGTCTGCGCAGTGATTTTGGTGTGATTGCCTTTTCTACAAAGCAAAATTATGTAATTAACACAGGCTCTATTTTTTTTGCCATTTTACGAAGAAAATAGCGATAAAACATTTTGAAAAAAATACCAAGCGCTACACAAAAAAAAAGTTAATCTACAAATGATACAACTTTGAACCATGAGCTGCAATCAACCTTCCATTGGCTCTGACCTGAAATGAAACTTGAGTTTTCTGCTGACAAAGCCAGAGAAAGAAGATACTTATGTGGAAGAGGCGTAGGACGGCTGAAACGATTTTAGCTTGTATGCAGAGTGATCTACTTTCATTGATTTGAATCTGTGCCACCATGCAAAACCGGCTTTTAAAAAAATAATATAGAGGCACATCACATGTTTTTGTCCCTGAAGCAGTTCCATGTGCCAAACACGAACAATCTGTCAGGAGATCAGATGTCTGGGGAGTCGGAACTGTCGAGGATGCTTCACTTTCAGGGGATTTTGAAAATAAAGTAATTTGGCAATGACACAGACAGGAAATGGTCTGTCTTTCTTTGTTAGGGGAGAATGCAGGTTTTGTTTTTATTTGTTTTTATCTTTTTTCTATTTTTTATTTATTTTGACCACGAATATTCCCTTTGTGATACAAAATCTTTTTTACAAGGCGGTCCTGGCAAAAAACACGAGCTAAAAAAGAGGAAAAAACAATAGATATTAAATGACAGAAATGATATCAAACATGAGCGTTTAGCTTTAACTGTTGGATAATCTGGCACTCTAAAAAGTGCTGATGTCAATTTAATCAGTTATTGCAATCAGATACTGTAAGATGCACATGTGGATGCAGCTCTACCAAATTCAACTTTTGAATTATTAAATTAAAAATGGCATGAGAAAGGACAGTGATTAATAATGAATGAGACCAAATGTGACCGCGAAAGACAACATAGTGGGAGAGCTTAGATTATATCCCATGCATCAATACATGTCTTTCATGAATGTATCAGTGTTTGGGTGCGATGAGTCTCTAGGCTATTTTTTTTTTTTTTACTAGAATCCAACTTGTGACATCACACGTTGAGCAAATTTGAAATGGAGCATTTTTCTCTGTGTTGTAAGACTTATGCAGACCACAAACCAAGGACTGGATGGATTTATTTCACATGTTGTGGGTCAGTAGACACTCAGGTTACACAAATATATGTTCAAAAACACTGTACAAGTGGATTTTTCACATGTCGCCTTTACGTTAAAAGAAATGCAAAACACTTCTGCAGCATTCTTTTCCCACAAATGGCAATCATCAAAACAGCAAAACCTTTTAGAAGATAATGACTGATGTAACATGACAGAGGAAGTCATTATGGATTGTGTTGTATTGGTTTTGATCGTTTTAGACTTTTCTCATGGCAATACTTTCTCTACTGTCTTGTGATATGATCACCATATAGCATTTGGAATAAATTCCATCTGATATTCTGTTACTAATTTGTATTCAGTTATTCTATAGCAAGCATGCATTCTCAGTGTGATGCTAGACAGTGGTGTGACGCTGTACGGTTGGTTGGAAGGAAGCCATTAAAGACCGATAGAAAAAAAAGAGAGGGAGGGAAAGAAAGAGAAAGAGAGAGAGAGAGAGACACAGAGAGGCAGACTGGAGAGTGACAGAGACCGAAGACTTCTATTATCAGCGGGGCTTCTTCTAAATGGAACTATCTGGTAGCCTTGTCCTGTCTCCGCTCACTGCTGTTCAGCCTTGAGGCAGGAGTGAGAAAAGGGGTGTGGGGGTGTACGTGAGTCATTTCAACAGGGGCCATAAGACGCGACCCAGCACTTATGGTGACAAACTGGTTCCTATATAAATGCAAAGAACATAAACTCCCATTGGTTCAAGATTTAAATAGGCTAATAAATCCTATGTAGAGGCAAAGTGTGTTATTCTTGGTACCCTTACAGTCATATTATCACACATTGTATACCACATCTATGTTTTACATGTTGTATGCATCTTGCACTTCCATCTCTATAGCACTTCTTTTTGCAACCTTTTAAGGGTAAAGACCTTGTGGGCTTTCCTTTACAGAATCCTTTTTCACCACCACCCCACCACCACACCACCCCCCCCCCCCATCTCCTCTCTACCTCCCCTTTCATTTTATGGCCTGTCAGCTGAGTACCACAATTACCTGGTAGGACAGCAAGAAAGACAGCGTGCTCTCAGAGACAGGGCCCTGCTAAACTCTTAAAGCCCACTCAAAGGACCCCATAGACTGCGTTCACACTGCAAGCCTTAATGGTAAATTCTGATTCCTTTGCTTATAACAGATTGTTTTGTTTGGGTCGCATTACTTTTTTTAAATGTGGCCTGTGTCAAACTCCTGAACTGACCCACATGCTAAAAAAAAACAACCTCAAACACTTCATATGCAGCATGGTATGAAGAGAGATTATTTTATGATAAACAGAACTGGTGATCTTCAATCCTCTGCAGAAGAACAAAGTTCAATCCTTTACTATTATTAAGGAAACTTCAGGGTCAAGTCTGTCTTTTCATATAAAGGTGGTTCAATTCCTACCAGGATAAATGGACCTGAGCTTGTAAAGTGCTTTTCTAGTCTTCTAACTACTCGGCTTTATACACTGCAGGTCACATTAATACTGATGGCTGATGCTGCTATTTAATGTGTCCAAGTAATAAGTATTACCTAATCTATTTCATTGAAAGCCTTAATTTGTGCATTCATAGTCTGATTTTTTCCCTCAGTTCTTCCTTCATACGTCTCTGCAGCTGTGTTTGTATTTTGGATTAAGTGTTTAACTTCTACATATTTTTGAATATCACAGTTTGCCCTGAGTTTGTAATATACAACAAACCGCTAACAGCAGCCTTGTTCATGATCATGAATGCCTGGGTCTGTTGAACACAGTGGTCATGTAAGCTTCCATTGATATGCTCTGAACTTCAATGGTACAGGAATGTCATGCGTGTGTTTTTGTTTAATACACTACCTTCCTATCAGGCCAATTATACTTGGCAAAGATGGCGTCGTATGTGTCCACTGCCCCGTCTGTCACCAACATGATGGCCTGGCTGCATTCACTGCCCCTCCCAGTCTCGTTGAACTGGAGATGAAAAAAAAAAATGAAAAAAGTTGAGAAAGTGAGGTTAATGCAGGAGGAGGAAAAAAAAAAAAGCTCCTTTCAAATCTGTTTTACCAAACATTTACCAAGCTATTTACCTTCCATTAGAAAATTGAAAATCTTAACATGACTCAACTTCAAATCCTAAAAGCAAACAGTGCTGTATAGGCTAATAGAATAATAACACACATGCAAGCAGACTACCTTCAGAGCGTATTACGCCCCCTCAGATTACAGAGAGGAGTCATTAAGCAAGATGGACACACGTGTCATTGCAGTTAGCACTTTGATAGACACATGTTGTTAAAATACATAATGAACGCGTCAAAAGAAGGAGGGTAAATGTGTGTATGTGTATGTCTGCTTGCGTGTGTTTGATTAATTGCTTGTCCATAATGCGATGTTGAACCTGTAACCCGAGTCATTAAAGGCCTTGTTTACTTCTTGTTCTTGAATGATTCTTTCATGCAGCAAATAATTACAACACGCTTATCAATTTTGTGCACAAAACAGCTTCTTCTTTGTCTGAGTGTGTGTGTGTGTGTGTGTGTGTGTGTGTGTGTGTGTGTGTGTGTGTGTGTGTGTATGTGCTTTACTTACATCACTGAGAAGATTGAAGGCCTCGGTCAGCGCTATGTCCAACATACCAATGCCTTGAGCAAACAGCTTGTCAAGGTGCTCCCGGAAATGCTGGGGAATGAAGTTTAAAGGAGGAATTGTTACACTCATGGTGAAAAGAATACACGTGGAGAGAACTGGGCTAATGCTTTAAAAAAAAATGTAAGATACTGATTTTGTTTGCTCATAAATCATATTTACATTCCTTGATTTACTGCCATCTTAAAGAGAAATAGAATGATCTGTCTGCCCTCAAACTTCTTTTGTTTTATCTGGTGTACATAGGCAAATGATTGTGTCTCTTCATAGATCTAAAATGACACCATCATTTCTGATCTGTGGCAATTAATGACAAGTTAAATGATGATGTCAGCAATCGTAAGGGTCTCATGTGCACAACTTTTGCAACGGCCTGAAGATAAAAAAGGCATGAAACTCTCTTACACACCAAGTAATCCAAGTCACCTGTTGATAAAAAATTAGCCACTTGCACTTTACATAAACATCTGTCCTGATCTGATAATAAGTGGACAGCACTTTAACACGGCATTTACACTTTGCATATATTGCGTCTCCATTGAGCAGTTGGGATCAGAATTCACTCGATTAGCAAAAAAGCACACTCCCTCCTTAATGATGTCCAGGGTGCATGAGCATTTACACGACCAAACCAATGTGCATAAATCCGTGCCAGACCACATCTGTACAGTACATGATCTGAGCTGTTGGATCTCACTCCATCCTTCGGGTGCATTGAGGTGTGTTGACACCTAGCATTCAGGCGATCTTCTTGTTATCAATTAACCCAGGATGGATGTTAATGCAAGTTTTAAACAGCCTTTTAGATCCAGTCGTTGGCACTTGGAGTATTACATGTTGACACAGGTCCTTTACAGCTACTTGCAAAAACATTTTCCACCTTTAAAACATTTTCCACCTCCAAATCTACACCCAACCTTTATTCCATTGTCTGTGCTTTTTGATTTTTCTAGTGCTCTTCTCTCGCTCTTTCTCTGTCTCCCTCACTCGACATTGATCTTCCACCAGTCTTCTGCTCTTTACTGATGGGAGGAGAAAAGTCTCTCAACACAGCAGGGGGCCAAAGCAGTGTAAGGCCATTTCTGAGCTTTCTCACTTGGGGGCAAACATACACAATAACACACACACACACACACGCATACGAACCAGCAAAATAAAATACAATTGAGCAGAAAAACAACCTCAAGCATTCCTGACAACCCCCATACGGCAAAAGACACAACCTTTCCTTTGATGTCGATAAAAAGGGTTAATCGGTTCCAACAAAAGGACGTACCCTGGAGCACAGTTAACTTTGGACATTGCATGAGACTATGTGTGTGTATGTATCTATGTATGTGTGTGTGTGTGTGTGTGTGTGTGTGTGTGTGTGTGTGTGTGTGTGTGTGTATTGTGATCGAAGTGATTTGTCTTAGCAAAGCAGGCTATGCTCAATCCCTAGTGCAGCAGTGTACTTAGGTGGCAGACTTCAGTGTGTATGTGTGTTAGTGCAACGCCAAACTTTGCTAACCTTTTGTTGCACTACAAGTTACTGAACTGTTCATTGGACATCAAACCGATACATGCTTCAGATATATTCAAAGGTGATCCCAGCAGCTAGCGTGATGAAGTCTGGCCACAGGGACATATTAATAAAGGAACAAAAACATCTTCAATCACAGCTTGTTGAAGCCGGAGGTTTTGATTCCACGGCCTGTTGTTTATCGCAAAACAGAGGCAGGTGCTGTTCTGATAAATGAACAGAAGAGAGGGGGCAATGGTGGCGCAGTGGTTAGTGCGCGCGCCCCATGTATGGAGGCTGTCGTCTCAAGCAGGGGCGGCCCGGGTTCACCCCCCACCTGTGGCTTCTTTCCCGCATGTCATTCCCCACTCTCTCTCCCTGATTTCCGACTCTATCCACTATCCTATCTCTCCATTAAAGGCACAAAAAGCCCAAAAATTAAAAGAAGAGAGAGGGACAAAAACAAGTTTCTGAGAAAAACATTATACGGTGAGTACTGTGTGATGATTTCAATAGAATAGGCTTGTCTCAGCAATAAATGAACAGGCAGTGCCATGATCAATAATGATAAATCAGATTTAAGCCCCTGTAATACATTAATTCAAAATGACAAACTATTTATAAAATCCTGCTTAGTTTGAATGTATTTAGAAAATACCAGTAAAAAGTGAAATCTTTAGGCGATGTTACAACATTTGAATAAATTGACATGCTGTTAAAACCATGTTTATGGTTGGGGCTGTCTCTCTTCACCCACGTGGGGGCACGGCTAACGCGGAGAGGTTCACAATAAAAATAAAAAAACATGTATGAAACATGGTGGGGCCTCTGAGTGAGAAATAAACAAGCACCGTCCCATCAGTGCGAAATCAGAGCTTAGAACAACAAACCCATCATAAGTTTGACTTCACCCTCCTTTTAGAAAGACAACGATATATTTAGGCAGGATGTATGTGATATCTGCTTTGAGAATGTTAAACGTCTTGGGTATTATACCTTTAAAAGTCTCCAATGGGACAGTCACTTTCTACCCTCAGCTGAAGTCAAAGACATTAGCCTTATCTGCTAGTGCAGACTGCCTTACCTCCTCAGCAGGCTGAGTCACACAAACATTGAACTACCATCTGGAATTAAACACATAATGCTAATAAATATGCATTAGTGTACACTCACTTAGAGATAAACATAAATTAAGTTTTAAACCAACAGGCACACACACACACACACACACACACACACACAGATGTGTGTATACTTATATATCATATACAGTACCATGCCCAGACGAGAGGTAATAAGAGTTATTGAATTGAATTGAATTTTAAAAATTGAATCTCCTAATGGAAACTGAAGTAATGTGAATGAGATGGAAATCTAATTGGATACCTGGAGATGGAGCATTTACTGTATGAAACAGACAGGAGCGGATACAAGAAAGGAAGAATGCACACAGGACTCTCAAACATTACTACAGTGCCATCACTGAAGGTAACTCATCCTATTTTACACACATAAGGCTCCAAAGCCTTTATAATAACTGTTACAAATAGTACTCCTATAGTATATATAGTATGTCTATAGTACGCCTGTTAACAGCCTTTTGTGTGTGATATCAGTGGAGTGTCTCTTTAAGACACTTTTCACTCAGATCAGGCCTAACTCGCCCTTCTGCCATCTTGAAATCATTATAAGAAGATAATCTCACTAATAGGCTCAGAGACACTTTATAAGTGATGGTTCAGAAAGCAAAATCCTATACCCACTTAGAGTCAATTTAGATTCAAATAAGACTTCAATTTGGAACATTTACAAGATTGTATTTTGTCCTTCATAGCCTTTTTATAAACATGTGTAGAGTTTACATTTCTTCTTTGCCTGAAGGTGAAAACAATATCTAACACTGAGGTGTGAAGTGAAGATAACAGGAGAAAAACAGCAGCAGATAAGAAAAAAAAAAATCTTACATCTTTGTTGGTGACGTCTGCTTGGACCAGAGTTCCGTTGAGGCACGGCTCCACATAATGCAATTCCTCATTGTACTGAAACAATACAGAAAGAAAAATTCACATCGATCTTTTTGCCCTCCTTAACTCTGCTTAAATGTCTAAACTTATGTTTAAGAATGCAAAAATGAAAAAGTCAGAAAATCCCCTCATCTTGATGAAAAGCGCACACACTGCTCGGTACACAATGTACCCAGCGCCTGGTATTTCGTGATAATACTCACTATTTAATGCATGAGTATGGAAACGACTTCAAAGTTCAATAAAAAAAAAATGGGCGTGTGTTCCTTCAGAGGCAGCAAAATATGCAAATATGTGTGTGTATGTAGACACAGAGACACACCAACAATCACTGCAAAAGACTGACTTTAAAAAAACAAAAACTTTTGAGAGTTTTTCCTCTCCTTTCAGATACTTTAGACAAAATGAATGACATTTTTTCCACAAAACTTTGTTTCTTTTATCAGAGAAATTCCTTCATGTTTATAGACGGTGTCACAGTAAAAGTGGCACATATTAAAAGAAGAAAGAGGCGACAAAACGACACATCCATTGAAAGAGTGTGAGGTGAAAACAATATGTTTCTGCCTGATTGCACAAATCCCTCTTTTCTTTACTTCTCAAAAGAATAATTTTCAAAATAACATGATTAGGATATCAAATGATAATGAAGACTTTGTTCCGTTGAGAAAAAGGATGGAGGCTGGCAAAGTGACTAGCTACGGTTTGATGTGAAATATCATCAGACACACACAACTTGCAAGTGCATGCTCATGCACGCACACACACACACAAATATACAAGCTTATGGAGTTTCATCAGACTGAGAAGCGATAACAATGGTTTCGGTGCCCGAGGTGGGATCCAATCACAACTTTCGTTTTTGCAATTCAAATCTTCATTCAGCTAACTGTTAATTGGTTGTGAGCGTGACGGGAGAGAAAGCTGATTCGTTCTAGCGTTTCCTCTGATCCGAGGATGTGGAAATGTGAGTTTGTTAAGTAGTTTGTGTACCCCCCAGCTGTGTTCACATCTGCACGGACTCACAGCGATGATGTTAAAAAAGTCGTCGTCTCCAAGAGTGTCCAGTATGGAGGAGACAGTCTGCCTGGCGATGGTCAGCCTGAGGCCTTTCATGCTGCCGCTCACATCGACCAGGATGACCACGTCCTTTGGAGAGGTGGCAGCTTGAATGTACCATTTCCTGTTTCGACAGTCAAAAGCTATGACTCCGTGTTCATCTGGCTTCCACTTGATCCCTTGAAGAGACAGAGTCAGGATCACTAGTTAAAAATAGTGCAAGGAATTTTGTTAAAATGAAATGGAAAAAAGTGGTAAGGAATTGTGTGCTGTAGACAAACTTTTTCTAAAATGTTCAAATAACCACCTTTAACTTAAGAGATAGAAAAAAGAGAAATGTTTGCAGTTTGGTTCTCCTAAAATAAAAAGACAAAACAGATTTGTTCCTTCTTTTGATCTTTGGCATTGCAGAAAAAGATTTAAAATTTACGAGTGAGTTAAGGTGAGTGGAGTGCTCATTGCAATGGAAAATGACACTGAAAAATTCAACAGTAACATCCCTGACTAGACATGTCCAAATCGCACTGAATAATTTACGGGAAACACTGATTTCTGAAGTTTTTGTGAATTCTAAGGAATACATTTTTCTATCTCATGTTTGAGTCTTTGTGCTGCAATATCTTTGGAGTCGTCCAGGTCAGAAAACAAACAATAGATTACAGTGGAGGAGGCCTTTTGATAGCCAGAGCTGCACACAATGTATATGCCAGAAGAGGACTGAGGCTTGTGATATTAAACAGCATCATTAAAAACACTTTTATGCAGGTTCATGTCGTCAAAAGATTAAATAAAGAAGCAAAAAGGCATTTGTGTTGATTTTCTTATACTATGTCCTGCATACAACCAATTCTCTACAAAAGACTAATCTCTTTAATTATCTGTTAGCTTCTGTTCTTATTTATTCCACTTCACCTGAAAATTAGATTTTTTATCCATTTATTTCACCCACTCTCCAACAATCTCACCTATCTCTCCCGGTCACCCCCCCAACCCTCTCTCTCTTCTTCTATCAACTGTCTCCCTTATCAACCTGCTCCCCCCCCCTCAGTATCCACTGAGGGGGGGGGCAGTATCCTGCTTTAAGGAGACAGACTTTTAATTACAAACACACACACAGAAAGCTACAACCTAACCCACATCCACCCTCAGAGGCAAACAGCCACTTACCTGGGTACTGCCTGAAGAAGCCTTTGGCACTGCCAAAGTACTGCCATATGAGCGACGGGTCTCTCTCAAAGTTATCCACAAACACCTTATTCAGGGCCTCTGACCAGTACACACCGTTGACAATCGCAGAGTCTGAGTGTTGGAGAGAAGAAGAAGGGAAGACAGTGATAAGCACAGAGAAAAGAAAACACCACTTGAGTAAAATGGTTACATTGTTTTGCAGTCCTGAAGGTTGGAAAATGCATTCTTTAGCAACAATTCAACCACATAAATCACATTATATACTGCACCTACATGCTACATGGATCCCCTTTAGGGCCTTTTTTTCTCTTACAGACAGATAGAGGGAAAGTGTTTGCAAAAAAACAGAGGGAAGAGAATAGGGGAGATAAAAGAGAGTATAAATAGTAGAGACACTGGACTCTTCAGCCCGACAAAGGGAAAATGCAGGACCAGCAAGTTTAGTGAAAAAAAAAGAGCTGAACTTTGTGGCCGCTGTTTTCATTCAAAATTGCTATGGTAAAGTACCGATTGTACCAATTGCTGGCATCATATAAATTACTAGATGGTTAAAAAAATGTATCATATTGATTTAGCTGGAAGCGGAATAGGATGAACTGGCAGAGAGACATTTTATACAGTAAGGCACGTACACAAAAGCCTTTAGAGAGAGATAAAAAGCGAGAGCCAGAAAGGCAGGCAGAAAATGACTGCGAGAAAGGCAGACAGACACGTACCTAATGGACAGAGAGAGAAAGAAAGCAGATAACAGATTTCCCATCATCCCCTATGCTGGCAACATTGTTCTGCTGTCAACAGTCATGCCAATAAGCCATGATTGAATTAGCCTTCTGGAAGCTAGCACACTAAAGCCCGCTCTCTTGATAGTAAACACCCATCCACCTCTATGGAGTGGAGGCTGGATTTGATCCAGGCTCCATTTACACTACAATACGGTCACTTCTGGAGCAGTTAGAGAGTCTATTACCGTCTCCACTCGTCATGATGAGGCAGAGAGTACGACGGGCTCTGCTTTTCCTCTAAGCTGTTATTTAAATTCATCTTAATAATACACTTCATGATTCAATCTGACCAATGAAGCTCCCATGATTCCATAAATTCACATGTCCATGTGGCCTTAATGTGCAGTATTCCCACTGCATAGATCTAAACTGAAATCAACTTAATTATATTAGGTAACTTTGACATGATCAGTGAGGAGGGTTTAAAGAGACTAGTGAGGAAGCATGAGTAGAAACAGGAGAGCAGTAAGAAGAGACAAGTGTGTGTACAAGTGAAGTCCATCACATGAATGTGAACACTCCTCCATCACAAAGAGAATAAAGGTTAGGTTATGGACATTACAGTATATCGACCTGCCGTGGAATGCGCGAATGGCTTCACTGCGTCCCCAGGACATGTTCCTGTCATACAGCCTCATGAAGCATGATGGTGTGGCTCATGTTGTGAGTTTGGAAGATGGATGTTTGGCGTGGTGTGTTCCTCCTGCGATTAATCTCCACGGGGCACGGAGCTCTCTGCTGTCGTGGACTTCACCTCTAATTCATCACTGCTGCTACCAAACCATTTATGAAGTGCACAGGCAACGGCAAAACCTTCAGCAGCATGACAAAAAGGTTCAGATGACAGCGACTGGCTAGTGGTGGTAGCTAAGGTTTGAGAAATAGGACAAATTGCGATGAAAGAAGGGGATAATGCAAGAACATCTTTCTTCATTTAAAATGAAAATTAGATACATTCTTGCACTGATTACAGGTCAAATACAATGTATGGTGCGTCTTATATTTGCTGTTGTGACTTACTGTGCATCTGTTAAGCCTTAAACCCATGGATGTCTACCCAAAGATGATCCCCTATCATCCAACCATTTCTCACTCCCAGCTCGAAACAAAATATATACAGTATATATATATATATAGATGCTTTCCTTTAGCTAATTGTGTGATGTGGAACTGAAGTCAGAGTCCACGGTATATACTGTATTGGGGTTGGCAATTTGGGGTGATGAAGGGGTCAATAAAATCAGAGGATTTCATTCAGGAAGCTGAGGTCCACTTCTTGTGGGTTACAAATTGTTAATGATGAACTGCAGTTAATTATGTCCTGTACGATGTGTGAGTTATGTAACATTTGTATAGCACTAGTGTATGCATCATCATACGTCACTATCTATTTAGACCCAAACCTCAAACTTTTTCAGGGAGTTTTTCCTCCCTCAAAATACTCGGTGTATTGGGGCGCTGGTGGCGCGTGTGCCCCATGTATGGAGGCCATGGCCCTCCAAGCAGGCGCCCAGGTTTAAATCCCACCTGTGGCTTCTTTTACCGCATGTCATTCCCCACTCTCTCTCTCCATGATTTCTGACTCTATCCACTGTCCTATCTCTCCATTAAAGCCACAAAAAGCCCAAAAATAAATCTTAAAATATAAATATATATATATATATATATATATATAAATAAATACTGGGTATATTTTTTTTTTTACCTGACTGCAACAGTTTGGCAGTGTCCACAATGTTCTTTATGATTTTCACCTTTTTCCAAAACTCTTTAAAAATCATTCTAAAGTCTTTCTGCATACCTCTTATCTTATTTTCTCAGCCCATCCAATCAAGGCAGATGACTGTATTTACCAACGAGTCTTGTTCTTCTAAAGGTTTGTGCCTGTTTAAAGGAAGATCTCATGGAGTCATGTTTGGTCTCTTTAAAAACCACAGAATGCTATCTGGAACTGCTCTTTAATAGAAGTGCCCAAAGATCACTTCTATAACATTTTCTGCTATACACAAACGTTTGACTGCACACTTATTTGAAACATATTAACAGTAGATCTATTTCTAATTGTGTAATTCAAAACTTTATTTTGAAATTTTAAATAAACATTTTACTATAGCTAACTTAACTGCACAGTCCTGCAGGTGCCAGAGAGAAACTACAGGGGCAAACAGATTAATGAATAAGAAGCAAGAAAATGTCGCTTTCATTTTATTGACCGCACTTGTAGCAACAGCCACACACAGCCACACACACATACACACACGCCACTAATTTAATAGAACGCTTTTGGCATTCTGAGAAACCTGCAAACCTCTTGCAGGCTGATTATGCTGTATTAACTGGCATACAAACTTAAAGCACATTTTAAAATGCTCTCAAAAGTCTTTAAAAAAATAATCATTCACAGTCTCCTTCCCCCAAACCGAGCTCCTCTTTCTCCTTTTGCTTATCCGTGATTCTTTGCCCACCAACGAGCTGCCTGCAGTCCCAGCCGACACATCAATGTTATCAGTACCAGCGAACAAAGCCTGCAGATCTAAAACCCTTACAGAGCTCTCTCTCTCTCTCTCTCTTCTCTCTCCCGCTTCCTCTGTGTGTGTGTGTGTGTGTGTGTGTGTGTGTGTGTGTGTGTGTGTGTGTGTAATTCTACTCATTTGCCTGTGAATCAAATCAAAATTACTCTTCCTCTCTGTGTATCGGCGCGCCGGTCTGCCAGCCTCACTCTCCTGGCTCCTTCATTTAATTTCTTCCCATTTCAATCTCACTCCTCCTGTCACTTTCACTCCCCTCTTCTCCTTTTCCCACCTTGCTGTAATTAATCTGTTGCTCAGACCTTCCATCAGTCTGACTTAACCTACTTTCTCTCTCATTTACTCCCTCTCTCTGCTCTTCTCTCCTCTCTCTCTTTGCATATAATTTCTTTGCCTCTGGTAGCTGGACTAAGCCGACATGACATTCCCTGTGTCCACTGAGCTTTGTGCAAAGCCATGACTTCTCTGGGATGGACTTGAGTAGATGGTAAATTAGCAGAATGTCTGATTATTTAAGTCAGTGTGTGGTAGGGACTGTCCACAGAGTTACAGTTAATGAAGTCAAACCCTCCTGTGGACACAGGCGTACATCCATGTGCACACACAAAGTAGATCTTTACATCAGTGTTTCAATTAAGTAATTATTACAAATAACAGAGATGTAGATTATACGTCTGTTGACACTATTCACGTTGTTTAAAATATTTTATAATGTAACACTTAATCATGTGTTTTTTTTGTGTCATTTTGTTAAAGATAAGAGAGATTAGGTTTGACCACAAAATACACGTCAAATACATTTTGCATAAGAAGTTTATTTCATTATAGTTTGTTCTTCTCATGCTGATTTATGTCAGTGTTCACTTTCCTAAGAAATCTCCTTTTAATGTAATATTCGATGCTAAAAAGGAGCACAATGCTATGACAGCTCAGTTGCAGCACATTGTGAAATGGATTAGAAGACTAGAGGAGTATGGTGAGAGGAAAGTGACGCGAGAAACACACACAAGAATCTGTTCTGCTGTGGACTGTACTGAGTCGACTGGTTCGACTCCCCACCTGTTACCATTTGGTGCATATCATTCCTACCAACTCTATTCTGCTCCTAAAGCCAGTTTTTACTGCATCGTCTCTTTTGGCTTCGTACAACTGGAGGAGGAGGTGGAAACATGTGTCCATATTCATATTCAGTCAATGGTCTGGGCATGTCAAAGGGAAGGTTCATGTTTTTATCACGGCCAAGAAACATGTTTTCTCTTCTTTTTTGTTTTTAAACCAAACTTGACCCTGGGTAAGATTCACTGCCTAGGGGCCTCAGTAGTCAGTTTTATTTGGACTTTATCAACAGTCATTAGTTAAGCAGGGAACAAACCATCACTACAATGCTCATGATGTTAGTATGAAACTTTTCTGCACACTTTAGGAGCAGAAAATGATCAGTAAACAAACCTTTGTTGTACATGTTGGTCGGCACCTGCACCACGCTGAGGCTGAGGTTGACGGACAGGTTGTTAAAGTGGTCGTTAGGCTGCAGCAGGAATTCTCCCCCCAGCTCAACGCTGTTCCCCTCATCATCCACCTCATTGATCAGCACTGCATTGAAGTATTCATACTGGAGAGACAGAGATGAAGGGAAAGAAAATGAGACAGGGATTAGTTTTCACGTTCAATTAACACACCTTTGTTTCATTCAGACTCCTAACATCTCCGCTTCTACGTGATTGACTCGCGGAATTATCGCTGAGTAGAACGACTGGGCCACTTTAGTGCTGAGTCAGAGTTGAGTTGGCGTACTGAGGTAACCTGAGTCCCTGGATCATTCCAGTTTTACATGTTACAGTGGAAAGCTGCTGAGTTGACAAATCCTCACTCGGCTCCAACACTCCCATCCTAGCTCGATGCTGCATGTGGCGCTCTGCCGCCACAGTATTTTTAGTACTGCGCATACCGAGGAGACTATTAATAAATCATAGAGCTAGATAAATATAGAGCACATGGCTCACTGCAACACAAAGGCTCTGTAGAGCGAGTTTCCACACAGCGGCAGCACAAGCTGCAAAAGGCCTCGGTACATGTAAGGGCAACAAAACGCAAAACACACACAAGCAGGTGGAAAAAAACTTGACATTTTAGAGTAAATGAATTTTGTTTTGTAAATATACATGTAGATATATACGACATACACAAAGGCAATACAACAAGTCTTGTAAAACCAGAGAACTTCGCATGACTTTTCATCTTTAGTCTTGAGAAGACTGGTTCTTTCTGCGGTAACTGTGAATCATTGAAGAGCCACACATGCATTGCATTTATTCATTCTAACTTGTCCTTTAAAATAATTGTGCCTGCATCACAAGCCTAGTCTGTGTGCTTCCAAATATTTCAATCATTCTTTTTTCTTGTTTAAAAGTGTTTTTGTCTTAATCTTAAATTGTTTACAGAGTTGTAATCCTCAACACCATTTTGTGTTATAAATGGTTGAAATAACAAGCATTAGCTGAAGAAAAACAACCTTTAAAGCAACAGTCAAACGTATTTATATCTTAAATAGAAATGTATTTCACTGTCCGTACTGTCACCAGCACTGACTGCAGCAGCAGCAGTTCAATTCTCGCACAGGTGAGCGCTGGTGATTACATGGCTTAAGGCCACATTGATTTCTCTTATAATGGCCAAGAGAATAGGATTTGAAAAAGCCCTCTGAGGAGAATGAATTGCCATTCTCAAGAGTCCAATACAAAGCTTCAGTACATGTGTTATCATTCGGAGGGGGACAGACACTGTCTGGACTTTAGTGAAAGGACGGCAGGAGCAAGAAAAAAGGTGATATGTGCAGAGAAAAAATGCAGTGACATTAAAAAGTCCTCATACCTTATATATGCATTACAAAAGCTAACACAAGATCTCAGATCTTCAGCACATGTCACTGTTGCAGCACCAGTGGGCATGTGGGCAAAATCTTTGCAGTTCCTCCCGAGGAACATCATCATCCGCTCAGCCCAGTGCAAAACACAGATAAAGCCATCAATTAGGCCGGCAAACGCAGTGCCTATCGGTGTAATTAATCAGCCCTGATTAGGCTTATTAGCCCTTTATCAAGGAGAACACTGCAATGTCAAGGTGAGAGAGACAGAGAGAGAGAGAGAGAGAGAGAGAGAGCACAGTGGTGCATATTTCTGCTTTGAGTTTCCTTCTTCTCACCTTCTGTCTCCGTCCATCCCTGTGTGGACGCAAAACTAAAGACATGTTACCAAAAGAAGAAACGTCAATGCCTTTAGGTGTGACAAATGGTGAAAAACAAAATACTTGAAATACTTGTTCAGACTGGGAGAGCCAAAGAGAAGAGCCATGGTGAGAATGAACAGACAAGTGGCAACCTTTCATAGTATGGCAGTAAGTAGGACAGGGGGTTTCTTCTGTAACCATTTAGCTGGGTCTTTACCCGACATCAGTATGCCTCTCACTATCGGTTCTTGACCCACCAGGTGTGAAGATTGGATCTACATTAACCTTTACAGTGTTTGGGCTATTTTCTACAGCAGTATAGTACTGATGTTTCCAGTACAACAGGCTGAACAGAATCCAAATGGGTCGACTTTGACAAGGACTTTTTTATTTCAGTTTCAATGCGATGCTTTATTGGGGGAAAAAAAACAACAACCTTGTGTTTTTAAGAAGAAAGAACAACTGAGTGGGTGAGAGAGAAATAAAATAAACATTTCAGAATATCTAGTTTAACTGTGTAAGGTCAGCTCTAAGAAAAATACTCTAAAAAGGAAAAACTAGAGTGCTTCAAATAATGGCATTAAGGCAGGACATTCAAAACTGGCAGGATAGTAGCAACACAAAACAAGAAGAAAAAAACATCAACATTAAGTCGGACAAGAAATCTTGACTTTTGCTACATCCATCCTTGATTTTCAATTAAAGCATATATAGTTGAAGATAAGGAGAGGAAGTTATTGCAGGGATCAAAGTGGTTAAGACATGACAGCAAGAAGAGTGAGGAGGAGAGGAAAGGGCTTAAAAAGAGAAAAGACAGCACAGGACAGGACAGGACGATATCATCAGGTCAAGCAGAACGGGACAGGAGAGGACAATATGATGGGACATATTACAAAAAGCAAATATGACAGAGCAAAATACAGAATGCAAAAAGAGAGAGAGAGAGAGAGAGAAAAAAAATAGACTAGCTGAAAAGGATCAGAAATATAATACTGTAACATCAAAAGAGCGGAAAGAAGGATTTTAACTGCTGTTTCAGCTGCATAGGTGAAACATTTGTTTATTTGAAAGCAGCTATAATCAATATTGATATATCCACAATGGATCACACGACTACTTGTGGCTGAATATGATACATATGGCTCTCCACTTACAGAGATATTGCCCAACTGGAGCTCTCCACAGCCCGATGACAGTGTGCCAAAACACTAAATATCACTGGTTGGTCCAAGCAACTACAAAAAATCTGGGCTTTCCTGTAGTTATCTGTATTTCATTAGCCCTGCTAATAACAACCGTGCCTACTCGCTCACTCATTCTGAACACTACACATAGTATATATTTTATGTAACCCCCTTTTGTCTTCTCATACTGTAAGCATACTGTACATGTTATGTTCTTTTGTAGATATCATCATATCGTCATGTATGATGGATGATGGAGGAAATCAGCATAGTCCTTTTGATTCTTGTTTGCTTGAACGGTTTTGTTTATGTCCTGAGCGGTGGGGTAATGGGGCTCGGAAGTCTAGTTTTTCCATGTTTGTTTGTTTTTTTGCTTCTTTTTCTGTGAGCATGTCTTTTTAGCATGTTTTTATCATTTTTATAGTCGTTTTTTTTTTTTTGGTCTCTTTTTTTGTAGGTACTTAGGTCCTTGCCTTCTTTATATCTTTGTCTGGTGCACACTGCCGGGGTGCTGTGGTGGACGGGGTGGGGAGTTGGGAGGCAGGTTCTGTGTTGTATCTCAATGTTTGCCTTGGTCTGTTTAATGTAATTTTTTTGCTGCCTCCCCATATTGAAAAATATCCAATCAATATTTGATCACAAAATACTTATAGCTGAATATGCTCATATTAATTAAATCATCGTCGAGCACCTCTTACTCTGGTAGGCCATGCTATGTTGAGGAATGTTTCAGAAAGTTGAAGCTCATTATTTGGCTCCTTCAGGCCCTAACTTCACAGTTGTTGTTTTTTTGTTTTTTTTAAACCAATCTTGAAGCATTTTTCTAACAGTGTTTTTTTTTTCTGAGAAAAAGATACCACTGTTATTGCCACGTATATCACTCAGAAAATAAGTGCAGACCAAACAGAGCCAAAAGGAAGGCCAGTAGGTCCAGAGAAGTTTCATAAGACAGCTCTTTATCAGCTCAATGTGTCAATAGGAAACTTTTGGTGCGTGAGTAAGTTTGCTGTATCATCCTAAAAGCAGAAAATGTGTCAGCATTGTGTTGCAGCTTTTATTGATTGGGCTTGATATCGTGTGAATCTTTTTTTTTTTGTTCAGATTGGATGACACTGAGTTTTACTTGTGTCTGCAGTGATGTAAACTGTGATCAAGCAAAGGTTGCCACTAGTTTAAACAAGTGTCACATCAAATCTGATGATGCTGCAGAATGAATGACCTTGAAGCGGTAGGAAAATCTGAGTGTGTCAATGCAGAGAACTGCTTACGTATGTCACCTTTCTGACCTCCCTGCTCCTGGCAGCTGCGCGTTCACTTCCTGCCAAAGAAGATCAAAGTGTCTGGAGACGAGGCCAACTGATTACCACTTCACAACATCGCCAGGTCTCACTCAGCATGTTGTTCTCCAGGCTTACGTTCAAAAAAGAAATCTAAACTTTGAAACAAGTGCCATAAAGTATATGTGTTCTTCTCTTGAATTCTTTTTTTTTTTGTTTAATTTTAAGCTTAAATATTTATTACATTTCATTTCAAATCATTTAAAAGTTTCCAAAAGCTAACATTAACTCTGGAAATGTTGTAATGTGCAAAATGGATTAACATAGATCTGCTGCACTTGAGTTATAGATCAGATGCTTGGATTTGGAATTTTTGGAAAATCTTTATTGTGTGTCAGAGTTATTTTGATAGCAAAATAATTCCAGTTATTCTGAATCAAACTACTCCGCAGAAAACATAAAATTGACCTTAAAGGCAGGGTTGGTAATTTTCTCCAGATACACTTTTTAAGATTTTGCTTGAAATTGTCTTTAGGCCCTGGCAGACATATAATAATTCATGTGCTTTGAAAAAGGAATGAAGAAAATCCGTCATCTGTAGCAGTTGTAAGCCTGTAAAAACTTCGACCAATGTCTGCCACGAGGCACCAATCTGATGAACCAATCAGACGCCTCCCTGTCTCCCTGCTCGTTCTCCAACCCATGCATGCACGAGCCCACACTCAAGGCATGAGCTGAGCTCCGCTTCCTGACCAATGGGGCTTGTGCATGTAAGTGAGGGGCGTGGCTTTTGAGGGAGCGCAGAGGGGAGGGGGTGGGTGCAGACAGAGCAATGAGGTAATGCTACTTTTTAAAATCATGCTAGTTTTCAAAAATGACCAACCCTACCTCTAATATAACACAATCTTGAGTGGATGAAGAGGAAA